TATTACATGTTTAGTGCTTGGCTGCAGTAGCTGAAGTGATTAGATGATCTAGACATAATTAAAAGTTCATGACCTTTGCATGAACTGCAGAACCAGATGGCAACCTCTATAATTTAAATCTATTTCAACTGAAATTAAACTTAAATTCCCAATAATGCCAAACACGAAAAATAGACGCAAAAAACTACAAGTAGTTGGTCAAATAGTTTATTGTACCTAACTAAACTAAAACAATAAACTACAATAGAAGTTACATAATATTATAATGCGTTAATTAAAAGATGTTACGTAATAATACAATAGAAAATACATAACAGTACATTGCATTAAAGTAGTTACATAATAGCATATAATATTATGACCTCCGAACCCAAACTTGATGTTAAGTAGAAGTAGTAGAAGGTAGGTTAGTTGAAAAAGATTTTGCCATCTCTACTTTTGAAGCTACAGGTAATTCAAGATAAACCTTATATGCGTCTGACTTCCAGTCACCTAGAATCTGGATGACATTAGGGGGAAGGCCTCTTTGTAGAGCCCAAGATGCGCCTCCCCTCCTAAAGGAATGAGGTGAAAAACAAGTACGGTCATAACCTGCCTTAGCTAAGCATGTGCCCAGGAGAGATGAGAACAGGGAGGGGGGAAAAGGTTTACCTCTGGGCAACGTAAAGAGGGGGTAGTCTGGGCTGGAGGGGAAAGTAATAGCAAGGGCAGATAGTAGTGCAGATACTGGGCAAAGGGGGTGGCCTTTGATCTCAGTAAGCGGCACTTGCAAGATTCTCTCTCCAGACTGAATAGTCTTTGACCATTTCACATTAAGTAAGACCCCCCAGGGAAAAAATGTTACATCTCTCCTGCACAAATGTTTGCTCTTGTCAAACTCTGAAGGTAACACATTAGATCTCCTAAACAGGCCATAGAAAGCAACTAAACAGACACCCCAGAAAACCACATGAAGGGGATCATCCATATTTAGTTGCTTCCTAATGTCCAGCAAATGAGTTGGAGTAATAGCAGATTTCCTAATTGGTTTCCTGCCTAGGGTCTTTGTGAGACCCAAAATGATGGTGTCCAGCCTATAATTGTTATTTAATGGGTTTGCATAACCACTTTCCAAGTGGAGTAGCCTGACAACATTAAGATACAGTTTCACTGATGCTGGAGTAATGACCCCAGCTAATGAAGCAACATAGCGTTCCAGGTGTAATTGATTAACTGGTACTGGGTTGTAACCCATATTGTTACAAAATACTAGATATTTTTGGAGCTGGGCTGCATATGTTGATCTGGTAGAGGGGGTGTAGCAATTCATGCGTAGTGTAGCGATTGTGTTATCCAATTCTTCTTCCAGCTCAGCCAGTTGCGGACCTGCGGCAGAATGGAAAACAGAGAATTAAAACTCATGTGTGGTATTAAGTCCATAACAGACATTCCTGAACAAGGGAAGCGGCCAGGGTATAACAAGGCTTCCAAGGATAGGAGGGCATGGGGTTCATGAAGTCTGGAGATTGTATCTGCCATCACATTATTTAGTCCCTTGACATGGTGTGCTCTTAGATCAAAGTTGTAAGTCACTGATATCCAGAACATATGTCTTAGTATATCCATAATAACAGGATGTCGAGACCTCCCATAGTTGATCACTGCCATTGCAACAGAAGAATCGGTTGCAAGTTGAACCTTCTTATTTGACCATGTGTGCCCCCATCTCAATACAGAGAAGTATGCAGAGAGTATCTCCTTATAATTGATATGGTAATCCTTAAGAGAAGGGGTATCACGATGGAAATTTATATATGCCCAATCTCCATCATAGTATAAGCCTGCTCCAGTATTGCAAGCATCCAGCTCGACAGTCACAACTGGATTGTTGTCCATTATTAAAGATTTTCCATGGAATGTGTCTATGTACTTAATCCACCAGTCTATGTCTTTATAGAATTGAGTCCCTAGCATGTATTTGTGTTTGCTGCGTTTGAGTGATCGTATGGTATCCAGGATCCGTTGGAGGAAATGCCTACCCCCTTTGACGACCTGGGTTGCCCAATGAAGTTTACCAGCCAATGATTCAAGCTGGGATCTAGCGGCGCGTTTTTTGCTTGAAAATTCGATGAGTAATGCTTTCAAGCTATTTAGATTTTCCTCTGGCAATGTCAGTTGCATTTTTATAGTATCAATGTTTATGCCTAAGAAAGTTAGAACCTGTGTAGGTCCTTCCACCTTTGACCAGTTTATGCTCAGACCAAGGGACCTGATCAATCCAATCAATGTGTCCCTTGCTTCTTGACACTCCTTATATGTAGAGTAAACTAGGCAGAAATCGTCGAGATAAACAACAATGTTGTGAAATCCTCTGTTGATCATCATACGCTTAACAGATTGCGTAAGTCTGTGGAATATTTCTGGAGCTTTCCGTGCTCCAAACATGAGTCTCTTGTCTATCATATATGTATATGAATTGTCACCTCGAAATTTCCACTTAAGGCCAGTATACAGATAATCACTGGGAGATATCGGCACTGATCTATACGCTTCTGATAGGTCCACCTTACATAAAAAGTATCCATGCTTAACTAAAGCAGTAACTTCCGATAGAGATTGATACTTAAAACTGTTTTTTGTAGCATAGTCATTTAATCCATTTCCATGCGGCATAGAACAATCATGAATCAGCCTAATCTTTTGATACTTAAAACTGAGCATTAGCTAAAAATATTACATGTTTAGTGCTTGGCTGCAGTAGCTGAAGTGATTAGATGATCTAGACATAATTAAAAGTTCATGACCTTTGCATGAACTGCAGAACCAGATGGCAACCTCTATAATTTAAATCTATTTCAACTGAAATTAAACTTAAATTCCCAATAATGCCAAATACGAAAAATAGACGCAAAAAACTACAAGTAGTTGGTCAAATAGTTTATTGTACCTAACTAAACTAAAACAATAAACTACAATAGAAGTTACATAATATTATAATGCGTTAATTAAAAGATGTTACGTAATAATACAATAGAAAATACATAACAGTACATTGCATTAAAGTAGTTACATAATAGCATATAATATTATGACCTCCGAACCCAAACTTGATGTTAAGTAGAAGTAGTAGAAGGTAGGTTAGTTGAAAAAGATTTTGCCATCTCTTGGAGCCCGAACAGGGACAGCGTCTGACCTCGTGTCAGATCTTCATGCCAGATCATAACAAATCTTGAGACATCTTAACGAAGCGTGTAAAGTGGTAACATACCGTGAAGAGACTGGGGTCCCCGCTTTGAACCAAGCTCTGTTAAGCTTTCCTACGCTTTGGGTCAAGCTTTGCTGAGCTTTGTTACGGTTTTTTAAGCTTTGATACACTCTCGGCGCTTTAATCAATTCGTAACAGAACGCCCAAAATAGCGTGTAAAGTGGTAACATACCGTGAAGAGACTGGGGTCCCCGCTTTGAACCAAGCTCTGTTAAGCTTTCCTACGCTTTGGGTCAAGCTTTGCTGAGCTTTGTTACGGTTTTTTTAAGCTTTGATACACTCTCGGCGCTTTAATCAAGCTCTGTTAAGCTTTCCTACGCTTTGGGTCAAGCTTTGCTGAGCTTTGTTACGGTTTTTTAAGCTTTGATACACTCTCGGCGCTTTAATCAATTCGTAACAGAACGCCCATGCCAGATCATAACAAATCTTGAGACATCTTAACGAAGCGTGTAAAGTGGTAACATACCGTGAAGAGACTGGGGTCCCCGCTTTGAACCAAGCTCTGTTAAGCTTTCCTACGCTTTGGGTCAAGCTTTGCTGAGCTTTGTTACGGTTTTTTAAGCTTTGATACACTCTCGGCGCTTTAATCAATTCGTAATGGCGCTTTTGATCCAATGACTATATAAAGATGCAGTAGATCCATAAAACCATTGCATCTTTGACTCAGAACACGATGGCAGAACAACAAGATCCAGAAATTCCAGATGGACCAGAGCATGACCTATCTGAATAAGACATGATGTTTGACGCACGGCGTGAAAGAGCGTAAGAGAGCATGAGGAAGCTTGTCAAGCGTAACAAAGTCTAACAAAGCGTTTCAATTCTTGATGTAAGCGTCTCAATTTGTTGGAAAGCTTGAGAGTCCTTCATGAAAGCGTAACAAAGGGTGTCAGATATTGATGAAAGCGTCTGACCTCGTGTCAGATCTTCATGCCAGATCATAACAAATCTTGAGACATCTTAACGAAGCGTGTAAAGTGGTAACATACCGTGAAGAGACTGGGGTCCCCGCTTTGAACCAAGCTCTGTTAAGCTTTCCTACGCTTTGGGTCAAGCTTTGCTGAGCTTTGTTACGGTTTTTTAAGCTTTGATACACTCTCGGCGCTTTAATCAATTCGTAACAGAACGCCCAAAATTTTTAAACAGTTTAAACTTTTTTGGCGCTCTTGCCGAATATCCCGCTTTACTCCGAATTTTTCTACGACCTATTACGACCCCGACGCTTTAATCAAGCTTTGTTACGCTTTGGTGCCGCTTTACAAGCCGCTTTGAAGCGCCATCAAAGCGCTGTTTGAGCGAACGCTTAAACAGTTTAAATTTTTTAGCGCTCTTGCCGAACATCCCGCTTTACTCCCGAGCTTTTCTACGACCTATTACGACCCCGACGCTTTAATCAAGCTTTGTTACACTTTGGTGCCGCTTTACAAGCCTCTTTAAAGCGCCATCAAAGCGCCGTTGGTGTGAACGTAGCTTAATATGTCATTGCAATGACATCAGAGAGTCAATAAAAGATATATATATATATTACATGTGTGCAGGGTAACACTTATGTGGATTTTTTGTTCCAGGTATTGCATGTGTGCAGGGTAACATTAATGTTGGTTCTTTGTTCCAGGTATTACATGTGTGCAGGGTAACACTAATGTGGATTCTTTGTTCCAGGTATTACATGTGTGCAGGGTAACACTTATGTGGATTTTTTGTTCCAGGTATTACATGTGTGCAGGGTAACATTAATGTGGGTTCTTTGTTCCAGGTATTACGTGTGTACAGGGTAACACTAAGGTGGATCAGGTCTGCAGGAATGTCTTCAGGTTACTTAAAGTTTGCAAACGCCTTGATGTAAGTCCATTTGATTCTTGTTAGGTTTTTATTTTAATAGGTAGCTGATTAAATCACATCTTCCCTATCCCTTCTTGTGTTGCCATCAGAAAATCTGAAAAAATGTTTATTTATATAAAACATATTTTCAACAACTATGAGTTACTGCTACTTAAATAATGTACCTTTAACGATCGTATAATGTACTTTCTTTATAACTTTATATTATTATGCCACCAACAAAAAGTGGTGACATATTGGAATTGTTCTTTGTTTTTTCTGACAGCGGTTTGCGATCGGCAGTTGGTGGTTGGTGGTTGGTACTGTCTGTAACAAATTCTTACAACTTCCAATATCTTAACAAATACTGTTTAGACTGACTTTAATTTTTTTCAAAATCATCAACAAGTTATAAGAAGTTCAAATCTGACTTTAGACTTAAGATTTGACCTTCAATGACCTTTTCAAGGTCAAAAAAGGTCAACAAGGTCTTTTTAACTTGAAATCGACCAAATTTTTTTAAAGATCATGTACAAGTTCAAATGATTAATCTGACTATAGATTTGAGATTTGAACTTCAATGACCTTCTCAAGGTAAAAAAAATTTGACCTTTTCCAGGTCAAAAAAAGATAAAAACTGTATTTTTTCAACTTGCTTTAAATTGACCATTTTTTCAAAATCATCTACGAGTTCTCAGAAGTTCCAATATTTATTCAACGAGCATCAAATTGACCAAATCTTTTTCAAAATCATCCAAATTCTCTGAAATTCAGACCTGACTTAATATGAACTCATTAAATTGTGAGCAACTTGGTGATGACATTTTTATTCAACGAGCATCAAATTGACCAAATCTTTTTCAAAATCATCCAAATTCTCTGAAATTCAGACCTGACTTAATATGAACTCATTAAATTGTGAGCAACTTGGTGATGACATTTTGTCATGTTATTGCCTTGTATTAATTGAGGATGGATACATTTGATAAGTCACCCTAAAAGATAAAATCATATCTTTAATACGTAGGTCATCATTTAAGAGAGAATCATATCCTTAATATTAGGCATCATTGAATATGAATGTATATTATGTGTGTCTTAAATATACTGCTACCACACCTTTCATGCAGAAACAGGCTACTTAACTGATCAGTTCACTATTCCAGATTCCAGTGTATCAGGGGGTGTCTACTTCTCTTGTGGGAATAAATGCAGGCCCATCATTTTACCATGGAAACGATGGATTTGGAGATGCACCTGAGGAAGAGCCACAAGATTATTCTGCCCTTGTTCAGAAAGAACATGCTGTCAATACCATAGTGAGACTTGTGAATGGAAATCCAGGTACTTTGGTTGCCATATACTCGATTTGTCTTTAATTTGATGAACGATTTATGCAAATGCCAATATGTCCAATATCCAAAAAAGTCAAATTAAGTAACGCCAAGTTAAAAGAACAATACAGTAAATAGATGGATTTTTAGCATTTAGTAATGTTAAAAGAAAGCTTCCTCTGCACTTGAATGAGACATAATCATTTGCCTTACCCAGTCTAAACATGACTCATGTGGGAATCAAACCTAGAACCCTTAGATCCAAAGTCTGATGCTCTACCAACTGAACTATAAAGGCTTAAGCCACTTCAGCTGTGCTGTAGAAGCAACTTGCTATCCAGGTTCGTTACAGGCTAAATGCACAAACCATATACATCTATTGACAGTCACTAATTGGAATAATGGTATAATGAACCTCTGTAAGTGGAACACTGTTTTGAGGTTCCAAAAGTGTTCCACTTACACAGATTTTACTGTTCTTTAACACTAGTATTTATTTTCAGGTAAGCTAACTTTGATTGGATTGGGACCCCTGACAAATATTGCAATGGCAATCAGATTGGATCCTGATTTGGGTAAAAAGCTCAAAGACTGTTACATCATGGGTGGAAATTATCAAGGTATGTTTTCTTATACAGATGTAATAAATTTTAAAAGCATTAATTTTTTACTTTGATTCTGTTCCAACTTCAAAAAAATATGAATTTCCTATTATTAAGGAAGGGAAAGTTGGTTCAATAAATTTATGCACACAAGTCTAAAGCTTAGATTGATGTCTCCTATGATGACCATACCAATATATGCCTTTTGGTGTCCTTGCATTTATCATGATGTACAGTGCGTATCAAAAAAACAGATTGTTATCTCGGAAAAGCACAAAACCATTGATAACAGCATTGATTTCATTCAATGCACCATAAAGCCATGTGTCTCCTCTTTACAATGATATATCCTTTTCATTCAATGTACCAAAAAGCCAAATTACTCCTCTTTGCAATGGAATATCAATCATTTACAGGGAGTCATGACTGGCCGAATGATCATTAATTTTGCAAAGTGGGACAAAATTCAGCTCGGACCTAAGTTTTAACATTGCAAAAGTCAGTACAAGGAGCATAGGGGCTATTGGAAGAAGGTGTGACAGGTGTGGCATAGACAGTAACGTGTTCATACTCATACTCTTGCAAGAATACATCCTATACCCCTCCAAATTGCCACCATTTCCTTGCACATAAAGATGCGCTCATCTGTCCACGTCATGCATGGTTCAGCCCTGAGTCATCTGTGGGTTAAAGCAAAGAAAAGCAGCCCATGGGCAAATCTTTCTCGAGGTTTTGCAATATCTGGTGGACGAATTGTGAGCACAAATCCTCCTCAGATAGCTCCAAAAGAAAAAGTCACAACAATTCAAGTCAGGGGAACGTCCATTGGCACTTAGCCCTTGTACTGATTTTTGCAATATCTAAAACTTGGAGCAGAGCGGATTTTGACCCACCGTGCAAATGGAAGGGTTTCTCACCCAACCATTACCAAATGTGAATGAATGACATACCATTGCAAAGAGGAGAGACGTGGCTTTATGTTACATTGAATTAAATTGATGTAGTCATCACTAGTTTTGTGATTTTACGAGATAACTACTTGTTGCGTTTTTTTTGATACGCCCTGTATTTTTGAAAATACTTTTTATTGATTAAATGTCTGTCGGTCTTTTAACTCTAAGGGGTGGTCCAGTGTATCAACAAGGGGAAGCTGGGCCCAAAATTAAAACATGAAACATGAAGCCCAGTTTGTTATCTTAATGTAAAGAATATAGTGCACTAAATATTAGACCTGTTTCCAGTAGGTGACCCATAGGCATTTTTTGGTTGCCCAGTTCATGTGTTTTAGGAGGGACTAGTTTTCTGCTACCCCTCCCCAACCTTCCCCATGTCTGCCATTTTTTGATTCCAGGAAAGGGTAACATTACAACAAGTGCAGAGTTCAATTTCCATAGCGATCCTGAGGCAGCACATGTTGTCCTTAATGAACTTGGTTGCCCTATCACCATAGCAACCTGGGAACTCTGCCTTCAGCATAGTTTAACTTGGGTAAGTGTTGGGGATATGTTCAGAGGGATAACAAGGCAAAGTCCATTGCCAAAAGTGAACAGTAAATGTCATTGGCGGCAGTCGCTCAGGCACCTGTGAGTTTCGAACACTGGTGCCAAAAGCAAAAATAATGTTTCTTGTTTGGTATTTCCTCTTTATCTCATGTTTCAATATGAGTTTTATTGAACAAGATCTTTCTGGGGAGACATTGTACAATTTCGCCAGTAAAGATGGCGAACTGAGTAATTGTCAATTTCAATTTTTTTAGTTTTCATTGAATTAAATTTATGGTTGATGTTTTGCTTTGATATTTGAACCAAATGGGAACTCTGGAGTATGATAATTTGTTCATATTGTATTGTGCATGAGCGCCACAGTTCAATGATATCTTCCAATGATGATTACTGAATATTGGTAACTGGTCATGTTATGTCAAAATGATGCGGCTACTGGACAGCTTAGCTCCCCATTATAAACTCTCACAACGTTACCGCATCACCACACATCAGTTATCTTGTCTGTAAAACCCAAATCCAAATAACCTTCCCTTAAGCGGTGGAAGATATCATTGAACTGTGGTGCCCACGCATGGTATATGAACAAATGATCATACTCCAGAGTTTCCATGCCTGATTTGGTTCAAATGTCAAAGCATTATGTCAACTATAATTAGTTTAACTCTATCAATGAAAACAAAAAATATTGAAATGAACAATTACTGCCTGCCATCTTAGATATGAAGGTTACAGCCATTACCTTCGCTTGATACTGACCAATGAGTTGGGTGAAGAATTGTAAATCATTTCCATTGATGTGCTTCCAGGAATGGTATGGCAGATTTATTAATCAATCAACTGAAAAAGCAAAATTAATGAAACGCATCGAAAAAAATAACATTGAAAACTGGTATGGGGGAGGAGGAACTACCAAACTATATGGCACTGCTGATGAAATTACTATGGCAACGGCACTAGATAAATCTGTTGCTATAGAAGCCAAACATGTATATGCTACATTGGAGTTGAATGGGTCGACAACTCGGGGTCAGATGGTGGTAGATTGGAACAATCATCTGCAAAAAGCATCAAATGTTATTCTAGTCACAAAATTAGACCATGGGAAATACAGTGATATGTTATTTGATGGCTTGAGCAATTAAACTGTGTTCATTGAAAGGATTATGCAATAAGAAGTTGTTTTTAAATGTGCTAAATGCTCAAAATACTCTCATGATTAATTCCTAATTACATGCAGAACTTGAGTATTGCAAAAGTATGTGTTATATGTAAACTTGTGTGCGTAATTTTAACTAATGTAAGTTGTGTGAGTGAGTTGTTCGTGAAATGGGTGAGTGAGTGGGTGAGTATGTGGGTGAGAGTGAGTGAGTGAGTGGTTGGGTGGGTGGGTGGGTGGTAGGTGAGTGAAGGGAGGGAGTGGGAGTTGAGTTTATTGATTGTTTACTACAATGTAATGTATTTTACTGTAGGACACCTACAATGAGATCAGAAAGCCTGATACGCACAAATCAAACTTCATGCTACAAATCGAGAAAAAAACGGTGACAAAATGTTTAAATGAGAAATGGCCTACCTATATTCCATGTGATGAGATTGCAATGTCATTAGCATGTGACAATGAATTGTCACAGGACAGTCAGCAGGTTTATGCAACTGTAGAGTTAAGTGGTACACATTCCCGAGGACAAATGATTGTTGACTGGGAACAGTCGCTAAAGAAACCAACTAATGTTACCATAGTAACAAAACTCAAGCACAATGAATACTTGGACTTATTGAAGGGGTCAGTTCTATAATAAATGTGTATAACAGACGATAGAATTTAAATTGTAAGTACGACTATCATACTGGGGTTTATTTCTCGAAAGTTTGTAAAGTTGCGAATTGGTAAGTTGTAAGTTTGTAGAAATAACTTTAAACTTGCATTTCTCAAAGTTTAGTATCTTTGCAAAAATAAGTAACTTTTTTCTTAAAGTTCCTGAACAATGATGTCATGTGCGATTTTTATTGTAACTTTATGTACGCATCTGGAGGTCTTGTAAGTCTTTTGTAAGTCTTCCTTTACATATTTACTTTCATTTTTACAGTACTTGTACATCAAAGATAGTTCAAGTATACAGGAAATTCATTTTTGTCCAATATCCATTTGGATTTGAATACATTCAATACAATTCCATACATTCAGTGCTAAAACGTTGATAACATGGACTATATTCAATCACATGCTTCGATGTTCTTGCATTAATATAGCTTTGTTGGAATTGCTGGAAACGTCACAGCTGACAATGGAATATGGGAACTACGTCACATGATGTCACATAGCTTATCATTCATAAACTTACTAAAAAGATCAAATCTTTTGAGAAATACAATTTGCGATTTCGTAACTTTTTGAAACTTACTAAATTAGTAAAGTGACTAAATAGTACATGTAACTCAAGAACTCAAGCAGGACATGGGCCCCTAAAACCAAAAATTGGGTTGGGTTGGGGTAGGGTTGCCCCATAGTATTTTATGATAGAATTATATCCTAGTAGACATGCGATATTGTACTCATGTATAACCTACTAGTAATGCAATATTGAACACATATATTCTATGATAGAATTATATCCTAGTAGACATGCGATATTGTACTCATGTATAACCTACTAGTAATGCAATATTGAACACATATATTCTATGATAGAATTATATCCTAGTAGACATGCGATATTGTATCTCATGTATATCCTAGTAGTAATGCAATATTGAACACATGTATTCTATGATAGAATTATATCCAAGTAGACATGCAATATTGTACTCATGTATATCCTAGTAGTAATGCAATATTGAACACATGTATTCTATGATAGAATTATATCCGAGTAGACATGCGATATTGTACTCATGTATATCCTAGTAGTAATGCAATATTGAACACATGTATTCTATGATAGAATTATATCCTAGTAGACATGCAATATTGTACTCATGTATATCCTAGTAGTAATGCAATATTGAACACATGTATTCTATGATAGAATTATATCCTAGCAGACATGCGATATTGTACTCATGTGTATCCTAGTAGTAATGCAATATTGAACACATGTATTCTATGATAGAATTATATCCTAGTAGACATGCGATATTGTACTCATGTATATACTAGTAATGCAATATTGAGCACATGTATTCAATGATAGAATTATATCCTAGCAGACATGCAATATTGAACACATGTATTCTATGAGAAAATTGTATCCTAGCAGACATGCAATATTGTACTCATGTATTCTATGATAGAATTATATTCTAGCAGACATGCGATATTGTACTCATGTGTATCCTAGTAGTAATGCAATATTGAACACATGTGTTCTATGATAGAATTATATTCTAGTAGAAGCGATATTGTACTCATGTATATCCTACTAGTAATGCAATATTGAACACATGTATTCTATGATAGAATTATATCCTAGTAGACATGCAATATTGTACTCATGTATATCCTAGTAGTAATGCAATATTGAACACATGTATTCTATGATAGAATTATATCCTAGCAGACATGCAATATTGTAGTCATGTATATCCTAGTAGTAATGCAATATTGAACACATGTATTCTATGATAGAATTATATCCTAGTAGACATGCAATATTGTACTCATGTATATCCTAGTAGTAATGCAATATTGAACACATGTATTCTATGATAGAATTATATCCTAGTAGACATGCGATATTGTATCTCATGTATATCCTAGTAGTAATGCAATATTGAACACATGTATTCTATGATAGAATTATATCCAAGTAGACATGCAATATTGTACTCATGTATATCCTAGTAGTAATGCAATATTGAACACATGTATTCTATGATAGAATTATATCCTAGTAGACATGAGATATTGTACTCATGTATATCCTAGTAGTAATGCAATATTGAACACATGTATTCTATGATAGAATTATATCCTAGTAGACATGAGATATTGTACTCATGTATATCCTAGTAGTAATGCAATATTGAACACATGTATTCTATGATAGAATTATATCCTAGTAGACATGCGATATTGTACTCATGTATATCCTAGTAGTAATTCAATATTGAACACATGTATTCTATGATAGAACTTTATCCTAGTAGACATGCGATATTGTACTCATGTATATCCCAGTAGTAATGCAAAATTGAACACATGTATTCTATGATAGAATTATATCCTAGCAGACATGGAATATTGAACACATATATTCTATGATAGAATTATATACTAGCAGACATGCAACAATGTACTCATGTATTCTATGATAGAATTATATCCTAGCAGACATGCAATATTAAACCCATGTATTCTATGATAGAATTATATCCTATTAGACATGCAATATTGTACTCATATGTTCTATGATAGAATTATGTCCTTGCAGACATGTAATATTGTACTCATGTATTCTATGATAGAATTATATCCTATTAGACATGCAATATTGTATTCATATATTCTATGATAGAATTATATCCTAGTAGACATGCGATATTGTACTCATGTATTCTATGATCGAATTATATTCTAGCAGATATGCAATATTGTATTCTATGATAGAATTTTATCCTAGCAGACATGTGATATTGTAATCATGCATTCTATGATAGAATTATATCCTAGCAGACATGCGATATTGTACTCATGTATTCTATGATAGAATTATATCCTAGCAGATATGCAATATTGTATTCTATGATAGAATTTTATCCTAGCAGACATGCGATATTGTAATCATGCATTCTATGATAGAATTATATCCTAGCAGACATGCAATATTGTACTCATGTATTCTATGATAGAATTATATCCTATTAGACATGCAATATTGTACTCATGTATTCTATGATAGAATTATATCCTATTAGACATGCAATATTGTACTCATGTATTCTATGATAGAATTATATCTTATTAGACATACAATATTGTACTCCTGTATTCTATGATAGAATTATATCCTAGTAGTAATGCAATATTGTACTCATGTATTCTATGATAGAATTTTATCTTATTAGACCTGCAATATTGTACTCATGTATTTTATGATAGAATTATTTCCTAGTAGTAACGCAATATTGTACTCATGTATTCTATGATAGAATTATATCTTATTAGACATGCAATATTGTATTCTATGATAGAATTTTATTGACATGCAATATTGTATACATGTTTTTTTATGATATTGTAAATACAGTAGTGTGTACAAAATGGTACAAATGTATTTGATGATATTACTGCTAGTCTACAATTATACAATATTATAGATATGTATTCTATGATATTGTAAATTTTGCACACATGTATTCTATGATATTGTAAATATTGTACACATGTGATGGAAATATACAGAATATTAGATGTGCAAAATAAACCAAAATTTTATGTTTGATTCTGTTAAAGTTATTAAGGCATATTGAATGATAGTAATAAGAATAAAGTAAATCTTAAAGGCCTCATCTAAAGTTTGAAAATATATGCTTATCGTTCTTTTTTTATTATTTTTCATGACTTTAAAAGTTATTTTATAAATTTTTGAAAATTTTGAGCGAAAAAAATTTGTCAGATTTTTATTTTTCATATATTCGAATTTCCTTCCATTTTTCAAATAAAAGCTGAAATTTTTAAATCAAATATCCAACTATTCAGGAAAAACATATTGACTTTTTAACACCACTGTGAAGATTTAACAAAGGACTTTCTATTTGAATAATAAAATGTCATACCTAATTTGCCACTTAAATGTTTTAGCATATTAAAAATGTGGGCACCCTAAGTGACATCATTGTGATGTCATTTAGGGTGCAAAAATGTTTTGAAAATAATTCAAGATTTTTTTTTTTTCTCAACTTTCAAAATAGACCAATGTTGTAAATTGTAAATGGTGTAAATTGTTGGTCTGAGAATCAATTTTCATTAATCCTAACAATTCTATTGTTGTTATTTGCTAAAAAAGAAATGAGATATCTGATCAAATTAAGAAGTTGTTTTCTCATCAAACAAAGTTTGTTATGGATATAAAGAAGCTGCCTGTCCATTCATCTGTCAAATACATGAAATAATGGTTGACAGAGTGGGTTAACATTTTACAGGCCAGTGCCTTATGGAATTTTCAATATGGCCACTCAATTCAAAATGGCTGTCATTTATAATAATGTAATCTTATAATCACTTGAATACCAGCTGACCGATCATGGGCGTAGCGCTATTTTTCTAAGTAGTACGCCACCACCACAGGAACAAGAGTTGAGTGAATCAAAAAACAAGCATTCAGGGGGGTCTGGGGGTTCTTCCCCAGGAAAATTTTGAAATTTGGTTGTATTTGTAGCGAATTTGCAACCATCTGGTACGCCTGTGCGTACCCAGCGTACTGGGCACTACGCCCGTGCCGAACTGCCGATATAGTTCAAGTATTATATGCTGGTGGCCATTAGTGGTTAGACTGGCTTCAGTTTTTTCAAAAGCATCTACAAGTTTTCAGAAGATCAAATCTGACTTTATATTTAAGATTTGACCTTCAGTGACCTTTTCAAGGTCAAAAAACTAGCACTAAAACCCCTAGAACTGGCCCGGCAAGGTGGTAATAATGTCTTGTTTTTGATTATCATGGTATCCACAATAGAATTTGGACTAAATTACAGTTATATGCTCAAGAAGGAATTTTTAATAGGTTAGGACAGCTCTATTCAAAATTGTGACCATTTTTAGTGAAAAATGTAATTTTTGATAAATCAATGACCATGTTCACAGATTTTGTTCATATGTTGATGTCAGAACATACAAGCTCTACATGCTTAAAAAGAATTTGTAAGATGGGCCATAAATTAACAGTGGCCGCCTCATTTCAGAGGAATTGTGGTCATTGATAGCTGAAATACCAGTAGATGGATTTGGTTCACATTTATAATTTGTTGATGCCTTAGGGCAGGAACGTATAATGATGTATGACATCTGGTTGAGACAGAATTTTCAGAAACCTTGATGAATTTTTTTCTATTTCAACCTAGTGTCTGGACTCCCCCTCCCCTATTTACTTTACTAACAGTCTTAGCTTGTAATGTTAGGACTAGCTAGGCATGTCCTGCCACATCGGGTAACAGGAAGTGGAAATAATCTGACTCATTTGAATAGAGCCAGTCAGATTTGATTGTTTTCTTAGCCAGTCCGCTCTCCATGTAAATCAATGCATGTGAAGAACTGTATACCTGTATATACCTGTATATACCATTTCTTCTGGAAGAAGGAAGAATCCTATATTATCCAGATCTTGTTATATGTAAGGTCTTACTAAGTGGGAAAAAGGTGGGGTGGGGGTTGTTTTCTTGAAAGCTCAGTGGACATGGGTTAAAGGGGCTGTCATCTAGTTGTAGTGGTACTTTAGGTTGTGGAAGTGTTTGTCAATTTGCGCCTTGAACTGGTTGACATTGTCAGCATCTATTGCAGTCTGTGGGAGATTGTTCCAGTCTTTCACAATTCTGTTTCCGAAAACATTCTTCCTGACATTCAGTCTACTGTATCTTGTATTGAGCTTCTCAGTGTTTCCTCTGGTTCTATGAGCTTCAGATTTTTCAGCAATGTCAGTGATATTAATCCTGTCAAGACCTTATATGATTTTGTAGGTTTGGATGAGATCCCCTCGTCTCCTTCTGTACAGGAGTGATGGTAGCTTCAGGTATCTTAGCCTATCCCCATAATTCATGTCCTTAATTTCTGGTACAAGTTTTGTCGCTAGTCTTTGGACCTTTTCTAGCTTGTCAATATCCATGTTGTGGTGAGGATTCCATACGCTGTTTGCGTATTCCAAGTGGGGTCTTACAAGTGATATGGGAACTGAATTAATGCACCTTCTTATTCTCCCCTTTGTAAACTTTATTTCATTAAATTCATATCATAGAGGGGGGTCTCACAAGGGCTTGTAGTTAGACTAATTTGCTCTAGTTAATCAAGATAACAGCAAATGTTGAACTAGGTGCCAACGGAATTCTTGAAATGTTAAAGGGAGTATCATGACAAGTATATCTATCAAATAAATGATTTAAATTGTATTTCGAATGTATTAATATTCAAATGAAATAATTTTTAGAATTATAATTAAGACGGAAGGGCATCAAAATGCTCCATATACATTGCAACTTTAGAACAGTTTACATTACAAATAAAATTAGATAAGATTTTACTTGTTGTGGATTTTCTCCAGGTAAATTTTTAAAAAATTATCTCTTCTATTTTGGCCATTAGATACATTTGTTGTGGAATGTAAGATATGTTTGTGTCATATAGGCCATAAGTTTGTATACGTGTGTAATTGAAAATTATTATATCGCAAGTAAATGCTCAAATTAGTCGACGCTAAGTTTATATACTCTATTATCGCCCATGAAGATCTCTTACAAAAATCAAATATTTTCATAATAAAAAATCAGTATTATTCTTATTCAATGTAAGTAATATAGTAAAGGCGTATAGTAAAAGAGAGGTAGGTCACTTCGATCAGTAGGATCCCTAATCCAACTGTATTTAGTTCGCACTGGACAAAACCACAAAATTCTTTCATATTTTGGCGGTGTTCATTTTTGGTGTTCATTTTATTGATGTTCTCTTGGAATAGGTTTTCTTGACAATAATCAGAAAAATGTATATTCACGTGACATATTCTGTCAATTACAACCTCGCATGCACACATGTGCCATGTTTTTCTTGTTGTTTTTTTGTTCCATTGGAATTTGTGTTTTACACAACTTCCATGGAAGGAGAAAAGTTGATGTAAAAGCATGAAGATATAACAGTTAACAGCATCAGGTCAAATGATATGATTTTCATGTCTTTTCTTGCTTAAAGTGACCAGTCTTCAAGGAGTTCAAATAATTTCTATTTTAGATCACATAGAAGAATGTCTATCGGACTTCGTTAAACCAGCTGCAGTATCCTGAATGTACCAATAAAAGGCCTATCATATGATGTAAACACAACTTATCGTTCAAAGTGGATTGAGAAAAAAAATAAAGATGACAACTGTCATATATAATACTTTTGCAAGTATCATCAACTTCAAGCGACGGAAACGTTGGATTTACTTCATAATTCTTGTGATGTTAGTGTACATGCTGTTTTATTGGACATCTGATGGTGAACCAGTTTTCTCATTGGAAAGCCGGGTTAAATCTGGTGTTAAGTGCAAGAGTAAAGTTTATGAGGTAAGAATTTATAGATAACATATATTGAAAGCCCATGATAACATTTAGACTGATTCAGCTTCTCTCAACATTGCTTGTAGAAATTAAGATTGCTATTTGCATTAACACTTGCAGACTTATGAGTTGAATGCTTAGATTCTTAGATGTCCTTAATTGACACCCTCTTAACACATAGGAAAGACAAATGATGTTGAAGTGGTATGTATTTGTAAAATATATGTACCCAAGATAATGAGTAGCAGTGTTATCTTGATTGTGTGTTTTCCAGATTAGTGAGATATTAGATGACAGTGCTTTCCTGCTGGAACGTCATTCTAAACAAGATTTGGAGGATCTTTTCTTTGAGTGGGTAATTTTGTAATTGTTATTATTCTACAGTTGGCACAAAACAATGCAATCCACAATTGAAATAACTTTGTTGAAAACACAAGGGTGTTCTTTATCTTATCTATCTAATTCTAGGCTCAGTTTCAAATCTAAAAACTGGGGAAGGGGGGAGGGGGGTCGCCCCCAACGCCCTCCCCCTTCCAATGCCAATACTGTGTATGTTTGGACAATTTTATATTTTTCTCATAATGTATTTTGGAAAATTTATAATTTTTCTCATATTAAATTATATTCTGACATTTCAAACATGTTTTTAATTGTTCCAGTTTCAGCAATTGTATGATGGTATTGCCTATTTTGATCCAAAACTAGCATATTAAACAGCTCAGTTTGCATGGAGACTTCCTAAATGTTTTAGTGGTCTTAAATTTCAGTTTCCTTGTAACAGTCAAAGTGCAGTGTCGTGACAAGGCCCATTATGGACCTAGATTAGACTTTCTAAACATATTAATGATCTTAAATTTCAGTTTCCTTGTAACAGTCAAAGTACAATGTCGTGACCAGGCCCATTATGGACCTAGATTAGACTTTCTAAACATATTAGTGATCTTAAATTTCAGTTTCCTTGTAACAGTCAAAGTGCAGTGTCGTGACAAGGCCCATTATGGACCTAGATTAGACCTTCTAAACATATTAGTGATCTTAAATTTCAGTTTCCTTGTAACAGTCAAAGTACAATGTCGTGACAAGGCCCATTATGGACCTAGATTAGACTTTCTAAACATATTAATGATCTTAAATTTCAGTTTCCTTGTAACAGTCAAAGAACAATGTCGTGACCAGGCCCATTATGGACCTAGATTAGACTTTCTAAACATATTAGTGATCTTAAATTTCAGTTTCCTTGTAACAGTCAAAGTGCAGTGTCGTGACCAGGCCCATTATGGACCTAGATTAGACCTTCTAAACATATTAGTGATCTTAAATTTCAGTTTCCTTGTAACAGTCAAAGTGCAGTGTCGTGACAAGGCCCATTATGGACCTAGATTAGACCTTCTAAACATATTAGTGATCTTAAATTTCAGTTTCCTTGTAACAGTCAAAGTACAATGTCGTGACCAGGCCCATTATGGACCTAGATTAGACCTTCTAAACATATTAGTGATCTTAAATTTCAGTTTCCTTGTAACAGTCAAAGTACAATGTCGTGACAAGGCCCATTATGGACCTAGATTAGACTTTCTAAACATATTACTGATCTTAAATTTCAGTTTCCTTGTAACAGTCAAAGTACAATGTCGTGACCAGGCCCATTATGGACCTCGAGAAGATGGCGGATGGGAAGTTTGCATGGAGAATTTCTATGAGATAAAGAAGCCATGTCTGATATACTCCTTTGGGTATGTGATTAATAGTGTGTTCCTATATTAGATATACATGTATCATGACTGCATATATCCAATGAACATATTCACCCATTTGAATATTACGGCAAACCTATATTTAGACTAAAGTGTTGACTATTTTTTGTACCCCCTACACAGTAGTATGTCTAATGTATGTTGATCTTATTTCAGAATTGATCATGATTTCCGCTTTGAAAAGGACATTGAGGAAAAGTTGGGATGTGAGGTACATGCATTTGACCCAAGGTAAGTATACACTCAGGGATCTCGCCGGTTTTCTCCTAGAGGGTGCCTTACCTTAATATGACCTTGGTCAGAATATCTCTTTCATCATTTTGAAAGGGTGTAAGCAAATTTCAACATGGTTGTCTGTGACTTTTGAATTTCCAGCACCCAGTTGCATCAATGCTGGGGAGACCACGTCACCTTTAACTATTTACAGAGCAATACTATAAGGCTGTAACCTTTTACAATCTAAACCTTAGAGGTGCTAAAATCTATTCCTTCTAGTTAATCATAGGTACTGTCTTACCAATATTACAATCATAACTGCATCAATTACAATTTGAAAACTCCATTTCTCCGTTCCACGTTCTGGTCTTGAAGACCAGAAATTGAAGCTTCCATTATATTTTAGAAGCCGAGAAAATTCAATACCAGATATATACACATTCTTACCCCAATCAATTCTAACACAGCGCTTGCATTAGGTTAGAAAGTCCCAAGGACGCAATTTTTTTAAAAAAGTGTGTCCTTTGAAAAAAAGTGTGTCCCCTATTTCTAGTCATATTTTCAGTTTTTGATTTCTTGCCGCGAATTTAAAACGGAAGTAAACATTAAGTACGGACTGAATAAATGCATGTTCGTTCATTCGACAATGAATACATTTTATTTCATGAATAACCTAATATTTGTTTCTGAATAGGAAAAACTGTGACGTGTCATGGTTTCAAATCTAAAAATAAACAAAGTCGAAAAAATTCGAGAGAATCATGATTATTTGTAAATATTCAACATGTTGAGCCTTATTTACGATTCAAATAAAGGTGAGAGATCATAATTATTTGGTTTTGTTAGGTATCGTTGTAAACACATTGTAGTATTGACCTAAAAAAAATTTGCGTCCAAAAAACGGAAATATTTTCAATTTTTGCGTCCTCCAAATTATTTTTGAGTCCTTAACATGTACGGAATGCCGTTAATGCAAGCCCTGCTAACATCATCCGATATATTCTCCCTAACTTACAAATGTTTTGGCTCTCTCAAAATGAGGTTTAGTACCCCCAAGAATATTTAAGCAAGGGATTAAAAACTTAAGATATTAAAACTATGTCCCCAGAAATTAATGTGGGGTTGTGGAATGGTCATGTTTATGCAATGCAAACACCCCAATTCCCCAACCAAACCAACTCTCCTATACAGCCCACATTGTAGGGTTGCTACATTAATTTTATTTTGTTAGAATGTACAAATGTAGCTATGAGTAGAAAGTCTGTACAGTTTTTGAAAAATATGGATGCAAGCTCAAGCAGAGTTTACATTACAATATGCAATTCTTTTGTGTCTTTAATGAATTTGTGTATGATTGCTTTAGTTTCTCTAATCGATATAAACAGTAACTATCAATAAACACTAATCAATCATATAATAATGAAAAATTCAATACTGTATAATGATATCCAAGCCCTGCAAAATGAAATACATTTGTTGATTTACTATAAAGGTATCCTTGGTTATCATCGATATATAAGTTGAAACAAACATCCAGCGCAGTATATCTCCAGGCTGGATAACTAACAAGTACTGATGTCACCTCTTGTTGTCGGTATTTTTTGAGGCGCTTCAGGGCACTGAAATTAAAAAGATTGTTCTCAATATCATGCGTTCCAATGCTAATCATGCCCATGGTTTTCATGTCACTACCACAAGTGGTGACATGCTAATCATGCCAATGGTTTTCATGTCACTACCACAAGTTGTGACATGCTAATCGTGCCCATGGTTTACATGTCACTACCACAAGTGGTGACATACTAATCATGCTCATGGTTTACATGTCACTACCACAAGTGGTGACATGCTAATCAGGCCCATGGTTTTCATGTCACTACCACAAGTTGTGACATGCTAATCATGCCCATGGTTTACATGTCACTACCACAAGTGTTGACATGCTTATGCCCATGGTTTTCATGTCACTACCACAAGTGGTGACATGCTAATCATGCCCATGGTTTACATGTCACTACCACAAGTGTTGACATGCTAATCAGCCCCATGGTTTTCATGTCACTACCACAAATTGTGACATGCTAATCATGCCCATGGTTTACATGCCACTACCACAAGTGTTGACATGCTAGTCATGCCCATGGTTTTCATGTCACTACCACAAGTGGTGATATGCTAATCATGCCCATGGTTTACATGTCACTACCACAAGTGTTGACATGCTAATCATGCCCATGGCTTTCATGTCACTACCACAAGTGGTGACATGCTAATCATGCCCATGGTTTTCATGTCTTTACCACAAGTGGTGACATGCTAATCATGCCCATGGTTTACATGTCACTACCACAAGTGTTGACATGCTAATCATGCCCGCCCATGGTTTACATGTCACTACCACAAGTGTTGACATGCTAATCATGCCCATGGTTTTCATGTCACTACCACAAGTGGTGACATGCTAATCATGCCCATGGTTTTCATGTCTTTACCACAAGTGGTGACATGCTAATCATGCCCATGGTTTACATGTCACTACCACAAGTGTTGACATGCTAATCATGCCCGCCCATGGTTTACATGTCACTACCACAAGTGTTGACATTTAATCATGCCCATGGTTTTCATGTCACTACCACAAGTGGTGACATGCTAATCATGCCCATGGTTTTCATGTCTTTACCACAGGTTGTGACATGCTAATCATGCCCATGGTTTTCATGTCACTACCACAAGTGGTGACATGCTAATCATGACCATGGTTTTCATGTCTTTACCACAGGTTATGACATGCTAATCATGCCCATGGTTTACATGTCACTACCACAAATGTTGACATGCTAATCATGCCCATGGTTTTCATGTCACTACTACAAGTGGTGACATGCTTATCATGCCCATGGTTTACATGTCACTACCACAAGTGTTGACATGCTAATCATGCCCGCCCATGGTTTACATGTCAATACCACAAGTGTTGACATTTAATCATGCCCATGGTTTTCATGTCACTACCACAAGTGATGACATGCTAATCATGCCCATGGTTTTCATGTCTTTACCACAGGTTGTGACATGCTAATCATGCCCATGGTTTTCATGTCACTACCACAAGTGGTGACATGCTAATCATGACCATGGTTTTCATGTCTTTACCACAGGTTATGACATGCTAATCATGCCCATGGTTTACATGTCACTACCACAAATGTTGACATGCTAATCATGCCCATGGTTTTCATGTCACTACTACAAGTGGTGACATGCTAATCGTGCCCATGGTTTTCATGTCACTACTACAAGTGGTGACATGCTAATCATGCTCATGGTTTTCATGTCACTACTACAAGTGGTGACATGCTAATCATGACCATGATTTTCATGTCTTTACCACAGGTTGTGACATGCTAATCATGCCCATGGTTAACATGTCACTACCACAAGTGGTGACATGCTAATCATGCCCATGGTTTTCATGTCACTACCACAAGTTGTGACATGCTAATCATGCCCATGGTTTTCATGTCACTACCACAAGTGGTGACATGCTAATCATGCCCATGGTTTTCATGTCACTACCACAAGTGGTGACATGCTAATCATGCCCATGGTTTTCATGTCACTACCACAAGTTGTGACATGCTAATCATGCCCATGGTTTTGATGTCACTACCACAGGTTGTGACATGCTATTCATGCCCATGGTTTTCATGTCACTACCACAAGTGGTGACATATTGTTATACTCTCTAACTTTTTGTGGATGGTGTTAGGAGTTTGGCAGTTGGTATATATAACAAATGACAGGTGGTGACATTTTGCGTGTTAATGCCTTGTAAATCCATAAATACTGTGTATTAAGACTTGTTTGGTCACTGAAGAAGAATCACATTGGATTTTTGTTAGTATTTTACGATGCTGTCAAACCCTAAAAATGTTCTCGTGGGATTCCGCTGGACCATTACTATGTCTTATCATGAATTGATATATATATATATGGGCATGTATTGTTGGATATATTGTTAATGTTAAGCCAAGGAATTTGCTCTTCAAGTGTAATATTAATCACTATGTCTTGTTCATTTTCAGTATGGAAGTGATTGATCATAAGTATTCATCTAATGGATGGTATCATAACCTGGGACTGGGAGGAGAAAATGGACATATGGTAGATGGTACCTGGGAAGTTAAAACCTTGGAGCAGATTATGAAGGACTATGGCCATTATTATAGTGTAAGTACACTGTAGGGAAATCAAGGTGTCTCAGAATGAAACATGTATCATGTTTCCCCATTCTCTACAATTTCCATAGTTGAATGTGGATTCATTTCAATAAAATCTCAGTGTAAATGAGAATAGAATTAGTTATTTAATAGTGCAATCTTTTTTGTCTTTGGATGTGTATTTAAAACATTTATGACAACCCACAATTTGCACCTTCTATAGAATTTGACTCACACTTTGGTTTCTCTAAGTTTGAAAAGAAATATCTTCTATAAATGCAAGATAGACGTCCTTGGTAAATGTAATGGCAGTTTCCACATCAACAAAGTTGCTTGCCCTTTTTCAGTATAATAAAAATGTGTGCAAACAGTATCATAAGTAGTTCTAACTAGATTCATCTGGTTAGTATCGTAAGTAATGTACATCAAAAACTTTCAATATGTACTACATAGGGTATAGTAGGGTCGGGGCCAAGTCAAACTGCTTCAGCAACAGGTTGGTCAGGGTTCTAATGGCACTGTGGAAAATTATCTAAAATTTTCTGAGTATCCTGACGAACTGTTGACATCTTTTAGTAATGCAGGGTTTCAATGGCATATCAAATTTTTGGCCTGAAATATGCCCGATATAACCCACAGCGTATTAATATATTATCTCTTACTTTTATTTTCAGAAACCAATAGACTATCTGAAATTAGATATTGAGTTCTCTGAGTGGCTCGCACTCCCAGAAATGATTGCGAGTGGGATTCTGAGCAAAGTTCGCCAAATTGGGATGGAGGTCCACACTCCCGAAATAGACAGTTTAAAAAAGCCATATTCCAAATGCACCTGGTCGCAGAAGCAAACTGTCTGGCATATGCTTAATACATTGAAACATTTGGAGAGAGAAGGTTTCAAATTGTACTATTTTACACCAAATCAACGGATTGAGTATTTATCGAAAGTTAGCTTCAAGCGACGTTTTTGTGCTTTTCAAGTTTATTTTTTGAATACAAAGTTCCGATTCCCAGAACATGAATAGAAAGAGGATACCAATTGTATAAAGTGCCATTTTGTTTTTAACTTTAAAAAGTCAAAACAGCTTTTGTAGTTTACCACCTCTTCAAGCCAAAGTTATATTTGTGTATATTTTAGTTTAGGAAATGGCTACAGATACAAGAATTTTACATAGAAGAATCTTTAATAAAATATTTGTATCATTTTGATTAGCTTTTTTATATACTCATATGAATGTTATAATATTTTTAACATTTGATTTAAGCCATAGGATATATTTCAGCTTGAAAAACTTTAACTCTAGAGAGTATTTTTTTTCAAAAAAGTGATCTAATAAAAGTGCTCTTTGAGAGCAGTTGATCTAACTCTATAAATAAAAAGGGCAATATTTGAGTGCATTTGAATATATCTATGAATGATGAGCAGATAGCATTATACTGTATTGTAATCAATATTGTGTATATACAGGGTGTCCAATTTGTAATATAATTCAGAACACATGGTGCCTGAAAAATATATCCAGCAAACATTTGTTTTTTGAAATACATGTAAAAGGGTACAAGGGTAGATCTAATTTATTGCATACTTGATATGTTACTTATGATTAAAAAGATATTCCATTTTATTGTGCAGTACAGATGTTGACCATATTAATCATGTTTGTTTTAAACATAAAGAATGGGGTCTGTCGGGGATCTTTTTGGAACTTATATTTTCAGAGCTATCATACATTAAGTTTAGGGTTCTGTATGTTATGTATTAGGCAAGAGCCCCCCCCCCTCCCTTGGGAGATGTGCTGTGATTGGCAGATTTGAAGAAATGCAGTTTTATAAGAAAATGATTAAACACATATCATGAGTTCTGAATTTGCAATTAGTTTGTCAATTTACATATTTTGAATGTTTTAAGCAGTCAGTATTGCAACATGTTGGACATGAATTAAGGTAGTCAGCTGGTTAGGCTTTTTCAGTTGTAAAATCTTCAGTAGAGTAAAATTTTCTAGCAAGTCTGTGTACTCAGATGTATAGAGACTCTCTGACCAGCTACCTACCTTAATAAAGAAAGAATTCTATATGTTCTTGTATATGGTGCAGTATAACCCAAGGACATGATGGTGTTGTGCTTTTTTATCATACAACATATATGTATATCTGCACTGTGGAATATATTCCATCATTGTTTCCCCTACGCATCACATGCAAGCTGACATTGTTTTAACTAATCTCATCTTTATTGTATATAAATATATGTTGGTACTCATGATACCATTTCTTACAATATGAAAGTATATTTGTGTCCTAGTATATCTTACTCATATAATATGTAATTTACATTAATTGTTATGTCCTAGCAGTACACCAATCAAAACCTTGCATTGAGTGAACTACATGTATGTGCGTGTAACCTCCTGAGTTGATTGTTTGATTATACCTGGTGTCCCAAAGAAAATGAGCCACTTTTTAACAAGTATTTTCTCTTCAATAGATCAATCAAATTCATTGAAAATTTCTATGAAGTAGCCTAAGGGTAGCATTAGCAAGTCGTACAAATATGAAAGAGATTGGTTACATATTATGTGAGTATGACAAATGCATGTCAAGAAATCCAATATCAGAGCTGCGCAATTAGAGCCTCATAGTGTTTGTGCCAGCTATCAATTGATAGCATCTGTCAATCAATTTTAGTCTCAAAAAAGCTTGTTTATGTTCCAGATCTATTAATTTGTTTCATTGTTCTTCATATCCAAAATCCATTCTGTCCAAAATTTCAGTTTGGAAGGATTAAAGACCTTTCAGTGAAATTGATAGGGCAATTATTGAAAAGTGTATCAAGGTAGGATGGGATGGAAGATGAATCATAAAGGAATTACTAGAATAGTAATGGAGTTGGAGTCATGTAACTGTAAATAGACTTTGAAGAAAAATGCACTGTATCCAACATGCATTAAAAAGAAGGGATAATTATGTTGTTGGGGCAACATTGGTTGGTCCGTTGGTCCGTCCGTCCATCCGTTGGTCCGTCAACATTGGCCGCACAAATAAAAACTGCTATTCGGATTGAGTCATATCTACATTCATTTTATCCATATCCATAATGCCTATTTGACCTATCATTGCCATTTCCCAAGTTCGCCTGGTTTTCGAGAAATTGCTGATTTTGACGTCAAAAAGTCAAATTTTCTGTAAATACTAGACACTTTGTTGAAGTAGAACTTTCAAATAACTTGTAGTAGTTGCTGTATGAGCAACTTATGTCCTTTCTAGATTTCAAAGCTCTTGGAATTAAAGTTTTTGGTGTTTACTTTATAAAATTTGACAAAAAGTAGGACTTATAGCGAGATCAATAGTGCAAGAAAACAGGCAAATAGTTCCTTCATGGAACGAAGCATGAAACTTTCCACATATCATCAGAATACCATTCCCTTTGATTTAAGAGCCAGAGCCATTTTTGTGGTCCACTAGAATGATCAAAAAATAGTAAGTACCCCCTCCCACCAAATCCCATGGGGGTGGGGAGATATAGGAATATTTTTTTCATAAAGAAATGTCTTTGAATATGGTCATACTACAGTTTTAGAGTGCTATTTTCATGGTAAAGAAATTTTGCAAACATAACAAGATGATTTATCATTGATTTCCATCATTGATAAAGACTAATCATGGGCGACGCCCACTTTTTATACCTTGAACATTTAGATTATTAAATCTCTATCATGGGTTGAACAAATGAATGTAATTCAATTTTCTGGATAACACCAGATACCTTTTTGATGTTAGGTGCTATAATTAATCTTAGCATTTGACTTTTTAAAGGCTTACACCATAGCACAACCCTGTTTAGAAGAAGAAAGCAAGCAACAAATGTCCCAGATCTACAACATGTATCCACTATTCTATGTACATGTATGTCAAGTCTCTATTTTCTCCGGAAGAGAACCTATGCTACAGATACAACTTTCCAGAATTAAGATGATGATGTGCTTAAACAGTTTGATGAATGGTGTGCTGACCCAGTGCCTAAACAGTTTGATGAAAGGTGTGCTGACCAACAGAATGTACCAGTCTTTAAGTTTTGGTTTCCGATTATTTGAATCGAAATACTGTGCCTTAACTAAGTGTGGGCTATCAGAGAGGGAATTTCCCTCTTTTTCTCCAGTCAATTAGCAATCTTATCACCTGGTTTTTGTTTTTTGACCTTGTCAATATGCTTGCTGAGTACCAGTTCAGTATATCATCAGAACTCAAAGTTCAAAAATGGATAGCTTTTGGAAAAGAAAAAAATTAGAGATATCTCACTTCTCATGAAATTGCAGCTGCCCTTTGACATGGTAGGACTATGTGTCTTCCCTTATTTCATGCCCCAACAGGTTCAGACATTATATCTGGATTCCAATCATTGAACGTTTTGTTGTGATTTTATACAATAGAGACAACAATGAAATAACTGTAAATGCTGCAAGACAAGAAATGTTCACAAAGAAAACAACTCAAATTGAGAACATCCCACCATAAGTTGCATAAGTTGGTTCCAGACAATTATACCTATGTCAGTCCTCGCTTCACGCTCACAATTGAGTTGGGAATCCATTACCACAAAGGCTGGGAAAATAATTTGGGTGCCAGTGTGGAAAACATTGCCCAAGCTTCAGATGCATGCCAAATGCTAGTAAAATGCAGCTGCAAACAACAGTGCTCAACAAAAAGATGCAAGTGCTTTTTTTTGTCATTCTAGTGAACCACAAAAATGGCTCTGGCTCTTAAATCAAAGGGAATGGTGTCCTGATGATATCTGAAAAATTGCAAATGTGCCCTCCCATCAAATCCTGGGGGGAGGGGGAGGGAAGTATTTTTTTGTTGATTTTTTTAAATATGATCTATATTCATTTTTAGTATGTTATTTTCAGTGTTTAAAAACAATTTTCAAGATTGCATCCGTATTTCTCATGGATATTCATTATTAAAGCCTGACCAAGGGCGACACCCACTTTATCAACATGTTAATATACAAGCTAATGAGTCTTCTATTATGAATAGGAAAATTACCTAATAAGGCTGAATAAAATTGATAAGATAAGTCAGTTATTTATGTTAAGATGATAAGTGCTTTAAGTAGGTTAATTGAAAGGGCACATCCCTTTTAGATATAAAGATATAATAATATATAATTCACAATTAATGATACATTATTTTGACTTTTAATGAGAGCACTTTGACTAATTGATACAAGTTACCTTATTAGGTATCTTAACTGCAGTTCAAATATCCTATTTTGTGCATTTAAGCACTTCAACACTCTATTATCATTATCACTGAGCTAGGTGTCATGTCCATTACAATCCCTGCATTTTACTAGCATTTGGCATGCATCTGAAGCTTGGGGCAATGTTTTCTACACTGGCACCCAAATCATTTTCCCAGCCTTTGCTGGTGTAGTGTCTGAACCTGTGGGAGCATGAAATAAGGGGAGATGCAATTTCATGGGAAGTGAGATATTTCTAATTTTTTACTTTTCCAAAAGCTATCCATTTTTGAACTTTGAGTTCTGATGATATACTGAACTGGTACTCAGCAAGTATATTGACAAGGTCAAAAAACAAAAAAACAGGTGATAAGCTTGCTAATTGACTGGAGATTTTTTTTTTTTTTAACATATTATTTATTTCCTTCATAAACAAAAAATACACAAAATATCTACTACCAATCGCCATAGGCATTCGCTCTTTATCTCCTATTGACTGGAGATAAAGAGCGAAATTTCCCTCTCTAGTAGCCTACACTTAGTTAAGGCACAGTATTTTGATTCAAATAATCTGAAAGCAAAACTTAAAGACTGGTACATTCTGTTGGTCAGCACACTTTTCATCAAACTGTTTATCACTCCATTATCTAGATTCTGGACAGCTGCTGTATATGTAGTATAGGCTCTCTTGAGAATTTAGCGACTGCAGACTGTGACTGTGGCGGCCTTTCTGGTTCCGGTTCAACCCATGAAAGAGGTTTAATAGCCTAAATGTTCAGCATATGAAAAGTGGGCGTCGCCCATTACTAGTCTTTAACAACTATGAAAATCAAAGAGAAACCATCTGGAAATAAAGAGGAAAATTCTCCTGTCCTATTAGCCCTTACATAGTCAAGGCACAGTATTTCAATTTAAATAATCAGAAACCAAAGCTTGAAGACTGGTACATTCTGTTGGTCAGCACACCATTCATCAAACTGTTTAGGCACTTGGTCAGCACACCATTCATCAAACTGTTTAAGCACATCATCATCTAAATTCTGGACAGTTGTGTCTGTAGCATAGGTTCTCTTCAGGAGAGTATAGAGACTCGACATACATGTACATAGAATAGTGGATACATGTTGTAGATCTGGGACATTTGTTGCTTGCTTTCTTCTAAACAGGGGTGTGATATGGTCTAAGCCTTTAAAAAGTCAAATGCAAAGATTAATTATAGCACCTTACATCAAAAAGGTATCTGGTGTCATCCAGAAAACTGAATTACATTCATTTGTTCAACCCATGATAGAGATTTAATAACCTAAATGTTCAAGGTATAAAAAGTGGGCGTCGCCCATGATTAGTCTTTAACAATGATGAAAATTGATGATAAATCATCTTGTTATGTTTGCAAAATTTCTTTACCATGAAAATAGCACTCTAAAACTGTAGTATGACCATATTCAAAGAAATTTTTTATGAAAAAAATATTTCGATATCTCCCCACCCCCATGGGATTTGGTGGGAGGGGGTACTTACTATTTTTTGATCATTCTAGTGGACCACAAAAATGGCTCTGGCTCTTAAATCAAAGGGAATAGTATTCTGATGATATGTGGAAAGTTTCACGCTTCGTTCCATGAATGAACTATTTTTGCACTATTGATCTCGCTATTAGTCATTTTCAGGAAACTTTCTCATGTATAAAGTCAATGGCAGGTTTTCTGATTGACAAGTTTCTTAAAGTTTGCCTTATACTTGATCATTTCTTGCAATGAATTACATCATTTCTAGATTTAAGCATTCCCTACATATTGCTCAACATATGTCAGCATCAATTTTTACCGTTTTTGAGATATTTGACATAAAAAAAACAGTAAAAATAAGTTATTTTTCAACTTGCTTCAATTTGACCAAATTATTTTTTGAAAATCATCTACAAGTTGCCAGGAGTTCAAATCTGACATTAGTTTTAGGATTTGACCTTTACTTGACCTTCAGTGACCTTCGAAAGGTCAAAAAAGTTGATTTTTCAAATTGATTTTTGGATGTAAATTTTGGTCAGGTTAATCACAAAAGACCTTACTGAGCTCTGAATAAGTAAGATTTTCAAGGTCAAAGGTCATCAAACTAGGTCACACAACTGTGCTATCTAAGTTTCTCAAAGTTCGAGACTACAAATCCAAATTAATATTTTTGTTTGAAAGTCAGAATAAACATTCCTCTGAAGGTTCCAAACTGTGTGAGCACAGGACCGTGGGTCCTTCATTAGACCAAAGGATTTTAGCCCGACCCAATGCATTGTAGGATGATTTAACAATGTATGTGTTGTTACCAGACCTTTGAATGAGTGCAGCAGCATGATTGGATTAAATGAGTGGATTAAATTATCAACAATGAATTGAGTCATGTGCTTAAATCATATTAACACATTGCAAAAGAGCTTGTACAGCATCTCCTAAGATTGATTTTTTTGCAATTGATTGAGAGAACCTCTCCTCATGCTTAAATTGATGAATTTTTGGACAAACATCAATATTTTGATTAAGTTTTTGATTTGGTTTCTCAACATTAGTGTTCTATTAGGTTTTACCTAATGGTAATAGCCTAAGAGAAAGGCTAACAGAATCATTGCTGCTACAGCATTTATGTCCAGCAGTCTTTTCCATTTGGGCTCCTCCTTGAGTAGAGCCATACGTTGAGAGTGTTGCTCAGGAGCAGCATCCTCTGTCTTGCTGTTCATACCACAGATTACATTCAACCAATGTTTCCATACAGACAGCCTGCCACTCACCTCAGAATCTGAAAATAAGTTGACTTTAAGTAATTATTTTGGATGCCTGCACTGGGATTCATGGTTGAATTGAATCAAAGGCAGCGGACTGGGTTATTGAGCTACAAAATGAATCTAAAGTCTACTGAAAATGTATTAGTCATTTTTTAGAACTATGAATACACTTTTCGAATTCAATAAATCTGAGACTAACATAATAGTAAAGTCTTATTGGTGAAAAATTGCAGATTCTTTCGCTTTGAAAATATTTTTTGGGGATCTCATTGGAATTAAATACAAATTGTTGAAATTGTTTTTTGTTGTGCTATATTGTAATCAGTTTGCCGGGTGGTTGGGTGGGCAGGCGGGCGTCCCGAATAATCTTGTCTACAGGTTTCCAGCCAAACCGTTTGAGGGATTCATTTGAAATTCTCAGGGATATTTCTACCCATGAAAGTTTAGAACTGATTAGTTTTTCGGCATTCTGGGTAAATGTTAAGGCGGCCATTTTGGATTTTCCGTCCTAAAATCTTGTCTGTCAAGGCTTGTCTACAGGTTTCCAGCCAAACTGTTTGAGGGATTCATTTGAAATTCTCAGGGATGTTTCTACCTATGAAAGTTTAGAACTGATTACAGGCCTGTCAACTGTCCCGCAATTTGCGTATTTGTCACGCATTTGCTGAAGAATTTGAAGTCACGCCAGTTTTTTTTGCGTGACACAAAATGTCATGCAAATACGCATTTTACCTGGTAATTGTCACGCAAATATGTTTCTTTAAAAAAATTTTCAAAATATGTTTATGATACGGTAAAAATACGAAAGTCGGAAAAAAACGAACGCAATTTGTTCGGATTTGTCACGCGAATCCCGTATATGTCACGCATGTTCATTGGAAATTTTCGTAGCTCCCCCCCCCCCCCGTTGACGACATCGCGAGCGTAGCGAGCGCGAAAAATTTGAGGTGATAAAAGTTTAGCAAAGGTGCTCAAACTTTGGCCAAAGGTGTTTAAAAGTTGGCCAAAGGTGTTCAAAATTTGGACAAAAGTGTTCAGATTTGGACTTCGGTGTCCAACATTTGTAAGTCACTCATATTAGGTGGTCCCAAGTTGACAGCCCTGTGATTAGTTTTTCAGCATTCTGGGTAAATGTTAAGGCGGCCATTTTGGATTTTCCGCCCTAAAATCTTGTCTGTCAAGGCTTGTCTACAGGTTTCCAGCCAAACTGTTTGAGGGATTTATTTGAAATTCTCAGGGATGTTTCGACCTATGAAAGTTTAGAACTGATAAGTTTTTCGGCATTCTGGGTAAATGTTAAGGCGGCCATTTTGGATTTTCCGTCCAAAAATCTTGTCTCTCAAGGCTCGTCTATAGGTTTCCAGCCAAACTGTTTGAGGGATTCATTTGAAATTTTCAGGGATGTTTCTACCTATGAAAGTTTATAACTCATTAGTTTTTCGGCATTCTGGGTAAATGTTAAGGTGGCCATATTGGATTTTCCATCCCGAAAAGTGTATTCTGTTCAAGGGTGCGATTCTGTTCACCGTGTAGCTTATTATTGTTTAAAGAGAAAGTAAAAGTGAGATTATGCAAATTAGTGTATAAGTAGAACTTGTTTGTTTTGTAGTTATAATTATGATAACCTACCAACTCTCATTTCTTCTAAATTGCCATTCTCAACCGTTTCATCCAATTTCGAGTTTGATGCATTGATGTTCATTGAAGGATCATTTGGTGGTGTGTCAACTCTGTTCGCATTGTGTGTAGCAGCATCGTCTGATTGTTCCTCTGCTACATCATCAATCATTTCAATTGGCACAATGGCATCTGCAATCCCATTAGCAGGGACTCCATCACCATTTTCCTTTACATGTGGACCATTATTCCCTGCTATACTCTTTGTTTCTATATGTGGGGCTGTTTTAGTGCTGGTCTTTAGGTCTATTTCCTCCTTTGTCTCGCTATTGGGGTCTTGATATATTGTCCACCAAGTTACGCCTTTGAGCTGCAACAAAGTAAATAGTCCGTATTTCAATTATTCCAACATTTTCTATCATAAACCAAGTAGAAGGTGATGATTACTGAGAAGCAATGGTCCAGAATAGGATGTAAAAAGAGTGTATGTGTAAGTCTAGATATGAGTGCACATTGAATTACACGAGGAGTTCCTATGTTCGTTTTCAATGATAATATGTGTAAATCACTTGATATTATCCAAGATGTATTAATCATCTTCAATGATGGTAAACAAAACAAACCATTCAACACAATCAATTAAAATGAGATCTGAACTGACCTGTTGATCAATGGGAGGCTCTGTCAAAAAACTGATAGCTGTGATAGCTACTGCGGTTATGATGAGTAGAAGGGGTCCAAAATAGGTGTAGTGGACCATAACAACAGCAGGTCTTGTATCCTCTTCCCCACAGCCTGGGGGTGTGTAGACAAAGTCTAGGATCATACGTACCACACCACAGAAGTGACCAATCAGGATGCCCCAGAATGCTCCCTAAATTAAAATCAATTTGATTGGTTTAGAAATGAATTAGGTCCATGTAAGTGAGCTTGCTCTATTTTTCAAAACATAATGCCCATCATGGACTTTCAATAGATTGAATCCCCATGTGCACGTGTATCCCATATTGTACTTTTTAATCAATTAGCAACAAGACAATTACTCTGATTGTAAGTATTCAGTCCAAAGATCAAAGAGTAAGGAACACATCAACAGTGTACTCACATGTTCAGTCATTCTCTTCCAAAGCACTGCCATAAGAAACAAGGCCCCCACAGGGGTGCCTAAATAGCCTTGGACTGCCTGTATGTACACAAACAACTGGCCTCCTTGGGATGTCTGCACCATTGGGACCCAAAGTATGCTCACCCCACACAGTATTATGATAAAAACCCTGCAATATTATATTACACATGTATGTATAACCATGGTGATTGGTTCTCTAAATTTTAACTACAATGAAAGACTTCTCCTTAATGGCTTTGGGTGACAATGGCTTACTGATATGGTTGATGTGGTAACTTAATCATGGCATCTGCTTCACCAAAACTAACAAACTGACCATAATGACTACTTTCAAATCATATGCCTTACCCAATCTAGACCAATTCCTAAAGTACTAGATGCTTACCTCCCAACTATAAGTAGTTCTCTATCATGTGCATGTGGTCTGACCCTCCTCCATAGGTCCATTGTGAAGAGTGTACTCGCACTGTTGAATATACTCGTCAGTGAACTCATTATGGCTGCCATCATAACTGCCATTAACAGTCCCTTTAAACCTATATACATGTATGAGGCAAAGATGTGTAGTTCATACTTTTCAACTAGAACGTTTTAACTGTATTTTTGTGAAATATTTTTCTATTCTCCTTTTAGCAAAACATAAAAAAGGTGGAACAAATTTAGAAATATCCTTTTTACATTGGTAGTTGAGAGGTTTTACCCAGTTTTGTTTCATAATGATTATCCCATCGAACGAAGTTCAGAGGGATAAAGGGAACGCCTCCGTCCGTCCGTCCGTACGTACGTCCGTCCGTACGTACGTCCGTCCGTCCGTACGTCCGTCCGTACGTACGTCCGTCCGTACGTACATCCGTACATACGTCCGTCCGTCCGTCCGTCTGTCCGTCCGTCCGGGCAATAATTCAAATACCGTTGGCCCGATTTTGTTCATATTTTGTACACATATACCCTATGGGGGTAGAAGTTCTGCTCGAAAGCCGATTTTCAAAATGGCCACTCGTTTCAAAATGGCAGCCATTTTAGTGACGATTTTACAGTAATTTAGGTGCAATATGTAAAACTGTAATAGCAATATGTTTTAAATGTAAGAAAATTATAAAGGACATTAATAATGCTACAAATGTATATATTAAAGAAGCACATGGCAGCCATCTTGAAAAATGGCGGCCTTTTCTCGTCATTTTACGATTTTTGCTGTAACTCAAAAATTAGTGGAGCGATTTTGTTCATATTTGGTATGTGAATACTATAAGCATTGCAGACTGTCTAAAGACACTTTTGGTAGAAGGCGGCCATTTTGAAAAATGGCCGACATTTTAACGTATTTTACTATAACTCGAAAAGTAGTGGAGCGATTTTGTTCATATTTGGTATGTGAATACTATAAGCATGGCAGACTGTCCTATGACACTTTTGGTAGAAGGCGGCCATTTTGAAATTTTTTTTGAAAAATGGCCGCCATTTTAACGTATTTCACTATAACTCGAAAAGTAGTATAGCGATTTTGTTCATATTTGGTATGTGAATACTATAAGCATGGCACACTGTCTATTTCTAATGACGCTTTTGGTAGAAGGTGGCCATTTTGAAAAATGGCCTTCAAAATGGCCGCCATTTTAACGTATTTTTCTGTAACTCGAAAAGTAGTGGAGCGATTTTGTTCATATTTGATATGTGAATACTTTAATCATGGCACATTGTCTAATAAAACTTTGGGGAGTAGTCGGCCATTTTGAAAATGGCCACCATTTTTATGTGTGTTATTTTACAAGTACGTGTGCGATTTTTCAAAAATTTTAGAGGTGGCTACTTAAAAGCATATTATTTCTTCTGATGGCAACTTGGCTAGTGAGCAACCATTTTGAAAATGGTGGCCTTTCTGGTGTGTTGTTTTATGATATTTGCGCTTCGTTTGTAAAAATGCCAGCCATTTCTGTTCGATGGGATTCGCTACGCTTTGGCGTTGCCGTTGTTCTGGTTCTTATGGTTTATGGGGGCTCATGTTTTGGCATTATTATTTTAAGAGTTGAATTGATCTTTCTGTCTGAAGTATTTTCCAAGATGGAAACAGATCTCATTTACCACCAAGAAGTGTTGACATATTCATTTTTGTTGATGACTGGCATTCAATATCTATTGCTCTAATTACAACAACCAGATACATTTTGTCAAGACAATATCTTGTTAAAAATGTTCAGACTGTTGTCATGTTTCAGTTCTGTTTACTTAGTATTATAAGACTTTTGTGGGCTCACCAACAGGTAGAAATTCCATGACCAGCTTTGGGTATGCAATATTGGAGCAACCAACAGGGTTGTTGCAATGTTTCAGGCATTCATCCATGTCAATACATGCTACCTCTTCTGCAACAACACATACGAGGGGTGATCCAAAAGTCTTGGACGCCTCACTCTAACTTTGCTATTTTATAATATAATTACATGAAACTTTCAGATAATAAAGAGCAACATCTTAACAACTTTATGTATAAGTTTCACCAGAAAATAATATATTTTAGCTACTTTTCTAAATATTTTAAATACTGGGTCCCTGTCACCCGAAACGGTATTTAAATAAAGCAAATCACGTCACAACTGTTAAAATGGCAAAAACTTAAGGTGCACGTGCACAACCTAACACCAGTCATGATATGAGAGAATTTCCGATTTTTCAATCTGAGTGTCATCTGCCACCATCATCTTCACATATTAAGACCTACTTTTCTAATATTTTAAACGAATTTGAACACATTTTTCGTACCACTTTACCAATGAATGGAAGGCATTTATGGAACTGCCATTGCTTATGTGATACAAATGCTGCTGGAGTGCCACTCTTAACCTAATCCAATGAATAAAAACATTTTCTTTCAACCATCCTTTTCAACTTGGAGAAAAGGAAGAAAATCATACAGAGCCATATCTAGACTACATTCTGCATATGGTGGCTGCTCGAGGTCAATAATAGTGAGGATATCTTTGTTGTATATTCTTTGTTTCACAATTGATTTCTTTCATGTTCTGCATTTCAGCAGCCATCTTGGAGCACAAATTATACCAGAATGAGGGTTGCTTGTCTGATGTCATTTCTTTTGAATTTGACATATATGGCCATCGTCATATGTGACATTATAATTAAAACACAATTAATTGGTTGCCTAGTAACAAAGGAAGTAAACTAGAATGGTTTAAACATGGTTTAACATTCAAACTTCAAAGAAAGATAGTGGTCAAGACTTGCGAAACAAGTCAAATGGCAGCAACATTTAAGGCTGAAAGTTGCCATGTGTGAATACCGTTCCGGGTGGCAGGGTCCCTATATTAAAAACTATCTAAAAAACTACATAAATTATATAATTTCTCCATGAAATTAATACACAAAGTAGTTAAGTTGTTGGTCTTTATTATTGGAAAGTTTAAAGTAATTTTATCAAAAACTAACAAAATTAGAGCAGGGCGTCCAAGACTTTTGGATCACCCCTCGTACATTATACATTAGCCACTGATACAGCATTCTGTAACTTAGTTTTTACTTCTGTTATATATGCATATTACAAGTATGCTATAGCGATTGATTAAAACATAAAGAGAAGTAAAATTATCATGTTTAGCCTGTTATAGTGGGCAATTCTTAGAAGTTATTCTGTTGACTACTTCATTGTTGATCTTGGTAATACAAGCTTTTGCAAAATTAGCTTCTTACCTGGGTAGAGTGCCCTACTGATCATTCCTGGCAGAACTATGAAAAACATGGGTAGTAGTTTAAGGTACCCTGCTAATATGGCGCCACCTTTTGCATGCATCAAGTTCTTTGCTGCCAGAGCCCTCTGTACAATAACTTGGTCGCAACACCAGTACCAAAGACAGCCTGGTAGAGCAGAATTAGAAAGAATGGACATGTCTATATAAGGAAGTAATAGCTTGTATGCGTACAGTCGGGTTGTCTGCATATAAATAAACATTTTTGTTTGCATGCACACAGACTGATAGGGCATAAAAAGAAGGTTGTTTGTATGTAATAATACTGTTGTTTGTGTGTACACAAACTGATGGGGCATGAAAAAGAAGGTTGTTTATATGTAATAATACTGTTGTTTGCATGCACACAGACTGATGGGGCATGAAAAAGAAGATTGTTTGTACATAATAATACTGTTGCTTGCATGCACACAGACTGATGGGGCATGAAAAGAAGGTTGTTTGTACATAATAATACTGTTGTTTGCATACACACAGACTGATGGGGCATGAAAAAGAAGGTTGTTTGTACATAATAATACTGTTGTTTGCATGCACACAGACTGATGGGGCATGAAAAAGAAGGTTGTTTGTACATAATAATACTGTTGTTTGCATGCACACAGACTGATGGGGCATAACAAGAAGGTTGTTTGTACATAATAATACTGTTGTTTGCATGCACACAGACTGATGGGGCATAACAAGAAGGTTGTTTGCACATAATAATACTGTTGTTTGCATGCACACAGACTGATGGGGCATGGAAAAGAAGGTTGTTTGTATGTAATAATACTGTTGTTTGCATGCACACAGACCGATGGGGCATGAAAAAGAAGGTTGTTTGTATGTAATGATACTGTTGTTTGTGTGTACACAAACTGATGGGGCAGGAAAAGGAAGGTTGTTTGTTTGTAATAATTATGTTGTTTATGTGTACACAAACTGATGGGGCATGAAAAAGAAGGTTGTTTGTACATAATAATACTGTTGTTTGTGTGTACACAAACTGGTGAGGGCATGAAAAATAAGGTGTTTTGTTTGTATAAAAAGGTTTCGGGCATGTATAAAATGGCTGAATTCCATCTATAATACATTTAGCCTCATACACAGCCCTTAAACATATACAGAACAAGAAGATTGGAGTAGGATTTCTTGGATCTGTGCTCTGGCCTAAGATAAGGCCCTTACCTATACTGGATTGTAGTATGATTCCAGGCCATGGATTATCAGATGTGACGGGGTCTCTGAACAGATGAAAGGCATCTTTCCTTGGGGCACCACATGTCCCATTGTAAGTGGAGTTATTTTCCCCTATAGATGGCACAGCCTTTTGGTATTCTTTGATTAAACCGTCGTAGCCTCCGATTCTTACAAAACCTTATGAAAAACAAAGGTAATTTAAGAAAAGTAAAAAACAATTTAACCCCCTTAAGCCACAGATTTATGTCATATATAATAGAATACAACCATATTGAAAAATATACATGTATGAAGAAGTTCATATTTATCCTATCACTTCCATCAAGCCCTTTAATTAAAAATACAAGTTTGGTTGTAACAATGTATGCACATGTATATAGTTACTTTTTAAGAAAGATTAAGACATTTGGATAAAGAAAATAATGTATGACAACTTTGATTTACGCTTTAAAGTACATGTACATGTAAATGTTACTGACATCAATATAGAACACAGTGCATATTCTTAATGAAATCACCACCAAGTAGCTTCTCAAATGTTATGAACTGTGAACAGTAAACTTTGTATAGTGTGAGCATTTAAAGAAAATCAGACAAGTGGGTTTCCTGGAATCATGATGACAAAAAACATAACAATGATGAATGTGATAAGGATCATGTCACCATCATAACTACTACAGGGTGACCAAAAAAATTGAAACCCTCCATTTCTTCAATATTTTTCTTGAATGGAGGTTAATTGCTCTGAAAGGCACACAAAGACTTCATTCAACGTGGGATCCTATGGCAAAGTTTCAATAATCATAGTCTTATATTGATAGAGTTATGGTTGTTCCAAAATATGCTCCAAATGTCGTCCATTTCCAATGTTAGGTTTTCGGATGAATCACATTCCCTTCTTTCTGAACATGTAAACTCAAGAAATAGTGTGTTCTGGGATCACAAATTCCAGATGAAGTGCTTCAAAGGCCCCTTCATTCTGTTAAATGCACAGCTTGGGCTGCCAATTTCCAAACATGAAATCATCAGCCCCTTTTGGTTTGAGGTTGATAATGGCAACACTGTTACTGTTAACACACAGCGCAATATTGGCATTCCCAGGGAAGTTCTAGGCAGTTGTAGAGTGACATAGAGGCTTCAATAGACAAGAACAGTGGTTCTAGAAGGATTGAGCTACTCCTCACACTTCTAATGATAGCATAGCCTGGCTCACTAGTCATTTCTATGAGAAGATTATCTCTCCTAGGACGGAGAACCCATGGTCATCCCACAGTCTTGATCTCAATGCCCCTGACTTCTATATGTAGGGTTATTTAAAGGATAATGTGTATGAAAATAACTCTACTGCAATTGCAGAATTCCAACAAGCAATGGCTGCAAAATTTGAGCATATTTTGAAATACCCATAACTCTATCATTATAAGACTATGATTATTAAAACTTTGCCAGAGGATCCCACATTGAATGAAGTCCTTGTGTGCCAAATCTCAGAGCAATTTACCTCCATTTAAGAAAAATAAAGAAGAAATGGAGGGTTGCATTTTTTGGGGTCACCCTGTATATCCCACTGGTGGTGTGATGAACTAGGGAGCTTTCTTACTCATAATTGTGAGAGATGTGGCACCAAGCATCATGATGATGGTCTGGAGTGTGTCCGTGTAGATAACAGCAGCTAAACCTCCTACAACATACCCTTACGGAAAATAATTGCTGCGACAGCGCTGTGACAGCGCTGTCGCAGCGCTGTGACAGCATATAGGCTTAAAATGATGGCTGGATCAATTTCAGCAACAATCCTCTCACATCCATACGCTGCGAGAACGCTGTGAGAGCGCTGTCACAGCATTCTATTTCCATCCATCGCTGCGAGAGGGATGTGACAGTAATTAAGTGGCTGGATCAATTACAGCAACATCCTCTCTTAGCCACAGTTTGTGGCAGCGCTCTCACAGCACTCTCACAGCCCTCTCACAGCAGGAAGTACCAATGCATTGTGGGTTAAAAAATTCAAACTAAAAATCAGTTAGAGCAGGAATTTTGTAGGAGGAAAGAACAAAGGAGTTATGCTGAAATGGCCATCATATCATTACTAATTTACAAAGCATATGTAAGGTATTGTACTACTGATTATTTATAGATACCTTTGGAATGTTCTAGTGATCTAAGAAAAAGGATCAAATGAAATGAATTTTGTGCAAGTTAGTACATACTGCATGGTTAAACTAAAGGTCTGAAATATCAATATATTAGCACATATAGACATTATAGTGCATCATAAAGGATAAAATTGATACAATTGGGGCAATTTGCATGTACATGTACAATAACAGCTATTACACATCTTTCAAACTGAACAATGAAATTCAAGGTAAAAACCAAATAAGGAGTGCAAAGATATATAAGCTGGCTTGAATCCATAAAGTAAGTTTCTAATTAAATGCAAACTTGATCTAGGGTGCAAATATATAGTCATCAGTTAGATGGAAATGCAGGGTCTTGGTAGCTAAATGTTTTCTGATATCCCTTATCTTCTTGTCTTGTTGCTATAGGTAACTTAAATTTATGTGTAGGAAGGATGCATAATCAATGCCATATATGGCAATGCTGTGAGAGCGCTGTCACAGCCTCATTTGCATGGTACATTCCGATGGGCTGTCACAGCGCTGTGAGAGCGCTGTCGCAGCGCTGTGAGAGCGCTGTCGCAGCGCTGTGACAGCGGGCTGTGAGAGTGCTGTGACAGCGGGCTGTGAGAGCGCTGTGACAGCGGGCTGTGAGAGCGCTGTGACAGCAGGCTGTGAGAGCGCTGTGACAGCGGGCTGTGACAGCCAGTAAATTTGTATAAGGGTAATGACAGACTTGTAAAATGCTGCAAAGTACAATCAGTCACGGATGGCCATATATGGGGCATTAACATGTAAAACTATCTGTAATACCTCAAAAATCATTGATATCTAAAATGATTTGATATTGAACTTCAAACATATGAGAAATTTAGTATGAAGATAAAAATGGATATTTCTTTGATTAACATCCATTAAGATTCTCAATGGAGCAATTTTTCGCACAAAACAATGGGACAACCCACTTGTGAAAATTATTAGTAAACTGTCATCAGTCATCCCTCATATAATTTTTTTAGATATGGTATGTATATTTGGATGAATTGATAAAAAGAAATTTGAAGATCACCGCAAAAAATCGTTCACATCATTGAAGAATGAAATTTATTGTTAATGGTATCAAATGTAAATATGGATTGGTATTTTCTTGAGGGCTTTGGTTACTTATTTTCACACATGAAATTGTCAACCTTTTATATGTTGCACTTTTATATGGGTTTGTGTCTAATTGAGTGTAAAGTGTCCTTTCCATACTTTTAGGAGGGGAGTGTACCTACCAAGTACAGTATAGAGGCCAGTGATGAGTAGCAGAACTGCTATAGAGAGGTACATGTCCCAGCCAAGTGCTAGTTGGATGAAAAGACCACCAGCAAATATACATACCTACATAGAATAAGCAAATGTGCTTAAAGGGGCATTCACTGGCAAAATGTTATGGAAAATTACTCATTTAGGTATTTTTAAACTGAAACTGGGGAAAATGATAAGCTACTAGTTTAAATTTTCCTCTGAACCTAATACATTTGTGTGCTTAAATAGTTGCATCAACTACCAAACAGGGACTTAGGGATGGTGTTGAATTATCAACAGTTGTGGAATAACGTACTCCCTCTCCTCATCTTACCTCATCTCCTCAAAATTTTAAAATATTGATCTTGATATATCATTCACTTGAATAACTGTTGATAATGGAACACATCCCTAATGTACTACTGATTACAGATTCCAATAGTGGATTAAAATCAAAGGATGGGTATCGATATGGCAAACTTTTTGAACACATGTTTCTCTTAAACCAGTCATCAAAAAATTCTGAAAATTTTACACATTGTCAATTTAATGGTCATCTTTTGAATGGTAACAATATAATTGGACAAATATATCTATACTTTCATCTACATTGTTTTAGAAAACACATCAAACACTTGTTTTGTTCTTGGTATCATGTTTCCAGAGTGAAATGAAACATCTTTCCGAACCTCATTGGAACAAAACGACATAAACGCAAACAAAGGAAATTTTGGTTGATTTTAAAAAGTATCTTGTTAATCAAATAAAAGATTTCTCTTGATTTTTATCTATTTTGGAGGGATTTTGTTTTAATTTTTTGAATACTTTTTTTAAAATCAACCAAAAATTTCTTTGTATAACTATAATATTGAGAGGTCTAAAAACATGTTGTATATGCTATTTTGTTCCAACAAGGTTTGGAATGACATTTTATTTCATTCTCAAGAATTGGTAGAAAGGAGCAAAAACAATTGCACTAAAAAAACAAAAAATGTTAACAAAAACAGTTATATAAAAAAATATTTTAAATAATTTTCGCATTAAATTGTTGTCAATCAGTCAACATTACATAAAATACTGTGTTTTTTTACGGAATGTTTTCAATGATTGGTTTAAGAGAAAAACATTGATGAATTCAGTTCTCCATATCGATACCACTCCTTTTCAAATAAATGCTCAGAGGGTCTTTAATCACGGTGCCCATGTCAAGCTGCGTGCCTACTTAGGCGCGCAGTTTGTTTCGATCACAAACTGCGTGCCTAAGAACATTGGATCATTTAAGTTGGAGTCTGTATTTTGAAACGTTATTTAAAGACATTTATCCTGCATTGTTTTCTTGTTCAATGCGTTCATTCTGTGGCGAATATACGAATCTTGCAAATACTAGCAAAAACTGTGTGCAAATGAATCTTAGTTTTCAAACATAAGCAGATTAATGGCATTTTTGTCACTGATTTAATGGGAATTTATACGTAAATCGATCTAGCACTTTAAACATAAATGACAAATACTTTAGACTCGTTTTATATTTAATTCCTTACACATTTATCATGTTTAATTCAAAATATTTCGAAATAAAACAGATAATCAGGAGATTAAAAAGAAATAAAGCACAAACTGCGCGCCTATTTTAGCCAGAAATTACAATCTGTGCGCATACACTATTAAAACTACATATTATCATTGGAATTTCTACAGAGGTACATGTAGGTGTTTTCGATGTAGCTTTGGAAATTTTGCTTTATCGTCAGATTTTATGAGATTTTCATATTGAAAGTCAAAATGTATAATACAAGTGACAATTAAGTTGGGAACGAAAAAAACATTTATTTTCAGATCACCATCTTGGTGGATGGACTCTCATAGTGTTTCAATTATGGGGTTCTACTATTAGACACATATGTGCCTTGTATGGCGCTTATGTTTTCTAATAATACAAAACAAGCTTGGATAGGCAAGCAGTTTTGAAATATAAGGCACGCAGTTTGGGAAATACATGTGAATATAGGCGCGCAGTTTGACAAGAAAAATAAAATGTTTAAATCACGTTTATGGCGTATTATCGTTTTGAACACAAACTTTGCTGTTTTAATCAGATGGAGTGATCCTATATATTCTAGCATACACAGACACAATGGCTGAACAAACGGCAAATGACGATAAAAAGACATAGATATAACTTTACACTGTAAATTTTGAACACAGAAGTTACTTAAGACCCTTATATTGAGATAACTAGGTTTACATTGGGAAAAACATTGAGTACTATGAGTAAATTAAGTTCATCTTCACAGAATGGTAAGTCTTTAGAACGAGACTAACCTTGTATTTTTCGTATTTTGGCTCTTTTTGGGAGTCGTGTCCTCCCCGTCTCACATTTTGAAATATGCGCGCAGTTTGTCAGAGTTTCAAACTGCGTGCCTAGTAGGCACGCTGCTTGACATGGGCATCGTGTTAATTGTAAGTGCTTTTTATAAAGAAAAGTATTGGCAATTTAGGCATCACTTTCATTCTTGAACATATATTTATTAACTCATTGTTTTTCTTAATCTTACTGCTATCTTGGTGACAATATAGAGTACAACAGCAAGGCAGCTGAGATAGATGCGGATCCTACTGCCTCCGAATCTTTTCTCCAAATACTCAGGGAGGGTATATACCTAGTCACAATACATGAAGTCCAGTTATTTCAGCATTAAATCATCATCGAAAGCTTTATTGTTCAATCATATCATTTCATCTGTAAAGATGAGTTTGAAATATCTGGAAGGAGGAGGGAAATTAGCGCAACAGATTTTGGACAGTCATATGTAAATGCAAACAACCCACACACATGTTATTTCTGAAATGTTTTCCTAATTTTCGACCCCTTCCATCCTTGCTTTTTTGTTGCGTTTTGACACATAGTTAACCACTTTAAAGGAATAAGTGATTCCTTCAGGGGTTCTAAAGATACCCATTACGGGTGACCAAACTTAGCTGAAAGCAATGATTTTCCCTATGGGAAAATAACATGGGAAATATTGTTTTCCACTTTATCTAAAAGGAATCATTTATTCCATTTAAGGGATTAACTGTGTGTCAAAACGCAACATATTGACGCAAGAAAAATTAAAAAAGCATGGATGGAAGGGGTTAAAAATCAGGAAAACATTTCAGAAAAAACATGTGGGAGGTTTGTTTGCATCTACCCTCTCTAGAAGCGATTTTCCTGGAGGTAATGCATTAGCCTAACATATGCACTTGTTTAAATTCCCAGGAAATGGCCAAAATCAAACATATGACTGTCCAAAATCAGTTGCGCTAATTTCCCTCCTCCTTTATAGTTTTACATACTGTTTCGTCTTGCTTTATTGACTAGAATTATGAAATGTAAAATACTTCAATTTGCTTAGAATTTGGATTATAACTTTTAATGGGGTCTCTAATAAGTTGATATGCCATGTAGTACAGTTGTAGCTGTTTTTCTTTCATAGGTTGGCTCATATACCTAGTGTAGTTTCTTAGGACACAGCTAAGAGAGGTCATATCACATCTGGTTTAGATTGTAACTTGAGTTTCAAAGTGTTTTTTTGCCATCAACTCTTAGTATTATAGAAAAAACATTTTGAACTTACCCCAGCTGAAATGTAAATTGGTAGGAACAACCAACCAAGTGCTATAAGTAGAGGAATACACTGAAATGAAAATGCATAAGTGAAAGACTGAACGTGGAATTGTCCATTATGTATAAAAAGCCTATTGCTAAATGCTCCTCTCACAAAAATATCTCATGAATTTTAATAGAACTATGAAAATCAATCTTATGTAACATTTTAAATTGTTAAATTTGATCCTAAATTAAATATCTAAAATATGATATCAGAAACCAGAGAACCCTCTATGAGATACTTGTATTACATTTTAAATTGCAAAACCTACACTCCATTCATAGAGCACAATAGCTATGCCAGATGCAGCTCCTGTTCCCGCCAGCCCTATGAAATGTTCACTGCCAACATTACTGGCAAATAATGAGGCTCCGACTGGCCACCATGCAATCTCTCGTCCTGCTAGGAAATAACCTTTAACGCTACCTCGGTTCTGACGTAGAATACACTGAAGGAAAGGCCAAAAAGGGATATCACAAATTACAACTGTCTGGTGCCAGGGTGATGCCCAAGATGTATTGAGAAATACATTATACTGTTATGTACATGTATTTCACTTTCCTGGGCAAAAAGTATTTAGGTACAGTGTTTGAACCTGGACAATAAACACTTAAGCACAGTCATACTCTTCCCAAATTATTTTCTTTATTGACAAATGGTTAAAAAGGTTTAAAGATTTTTTTAATATTTGGACTCATCAGAATAAACACTTTCTGTAGTTGTTTTTTTAACTAGTTTCCCCTTTTGTTGATTTGTTAAAAGTGTTCAATTTGTTACTTACCCACAATCCAACTGCTAACAGAAAACCAAAGTAAAGCACAATGACCAAAATATCTGCCCAATGGTTGAGACCTTGTTCCATTGTGCTTTTTGGTTGTGCTTTTTGGTTGTTCCTCCCAATCAATTGTGCACAAAATGTGTCAGGATTCAATCCTTTACAATATATTTAACTTTCACTCGAATATTGTCTCCCTTGTCATTCAAATCACTTTCACATGTTATGCAACTTATAAGTGGAGCTCTGCTATGCTCAAGGTTTCTTAATTTGGAGAGGCTGTCAGATTAACGTTTGTCCAAATACTACATGTATGGCCTCTTTGTCAAAGCACTAGCATGGATCAACAAACCACTGAGGATCAAATGCCCCCTTCTTAAATACTTTATCACTAGGTTTGTTGTTAATATTCTATTTATCGAGTTTATCATTTGTTTTTCTATCATCTGCTTTAATTGTTTTTTGAAACAAGTGGAATATTTTATCTGGTAATAATTCTTAGTATTCTTTCCAATAGTTCTCAATTTAAAAAATTATTTCATTAAGGTTGTTAGAAGTGTTTGTATTTGTAACCATGGGAACTCACTTAGAATGCAGATAGAAATGCAAGAACTCTAAAAGTCACTCTAAATTAAAACTAAGGTTGCAAAATTGAATTAAAATTAATGCAAATTTGGATTTTGTCAACAAACATATGATTAAGATGTGAAAAGCTTGATAATTAACTTGATACTTATATATTTTCTATAGATGATATAATAGCATAGATTAGTTTCAACTTCAAAGCTGTCTCACCTCATCTTTAGTTTGGCAGGCTAGCAAAAACAAATGTTTCTTTATCAATTTAACAAAAAATTAGTCCATCCATTGAAAAAACACATTTATTCATGGTGTTCATGGGTTAATGAACTTTTTGGTTTCCACTTAAATTTTAATGATGGGTCTACATTTCAGCTGTAACAGGCTGCTAGTTTAATAAATTTCTATTGGATGTTGTTTTCTTCTTGATATTGCCCCTTGTGTTTTTTCGATATCCTTATTTTTAGTAAGGAATCATTGGATTGAATTCAAACTGGGCTACTATGTTGGCAGTTGAAATAATGTTGTAATTTGATAGTGTTTTGTTTATGTTGATTTCTCAACTACAAGGTGTCAAGTTCAAAACTCCCATGGCATGCATACTGCATAACATCATACTAGTAGTGTTGTTGTTACTACGAGGGGAGAGCCATTTGATTTTCAGATGAGGGCCTTTTATTTCTCCCCTCCTCTGACAAAACTGAATTTTTCGACTTTGACATGTAAACTGCATATAATTGTATTAATTTTTTCTCTATTTTGGGAGAAGGAACCATTTGATTTTAGTTTGGGGTACATTATCTTTCTATCCTCACTAGAATTTTTTTCTGAAAAATTTAAAACAAAAATTTACTGATGTCCCATGTTCTTTTACTTTTCAGATTCTGATTCCGGTTCCTGGAATGTTGGAGAGCTGGTACGTTGTTTGATATTGTTTGCATCTGTAGTGAATCATATTTGGGATACTGGGGATTTGTTTTCCCAATGTCAGTTTACTCTCTCATGTTTTTTGTTTTGGTCTTTTCCCTTGTACATTTGTGCTGACACATCTTTATAGGTGATTAACAAGATCCACAAGGAAGCAAGACCGTAAATGTCACTTTTAACAACTTAACCACATCTCTGCTCTTGAAAGATCTAGGTGAGCTTCACAATCATGCAGTTTTTGGAAATCTTCCAGGTTAAAAAAATCAAAAATGTTGATACCAAACAGCGGCACTTATGCTAAACACTGGGAGCCTGTACTAAGGGGAGGCATCAAAAGTTCAATGTCTGATAGGAAACTTAATAAATCTAATTTTTAGTTGGAAACCCCCCCCCCCCCCCTCCCCTAAAAACTAAATACAATGAAAGTTGATCGTGGACTTTTTGCATGTTTTAGCGACTCGGACTTGATCGGACATGAAAGGTCCATGTGCAGTACTGCAAGTGATTTTAGACAGTCATATCTCTCACCATGAGTACTTTCTGGGCATAAATACAGTTAAGTGGTTTTCATTAATATAAAACAATATGTTTTCTTTCAAGTGAAGTCCCCATGATGATAAAAATATCAATCAAACAATTAGAAAAATTATAAATAGGGACCCCGCATCAACAAATTTTTCAAAATGTTGAACTTATTTGCTCAAAAGAGGATCTTCTTTTTGTGATTTTTATTGCATAAAAACATTATTCAACAAGGGGTCTAAAACATCTCCAAAAGTAAAATGGTATTGAAAGTCTAGTTTTGAAGATATCAATTTTCGATGACCAAAATCATGCTGAAAACAATGGATAGCATGAGTTTTCCCATGGGAAATGTGGTTTTTAACTTTATCGCATTTCAATACCCATCCCCTTTTCAGAAGTTATTAATATAGTGTAGAAGAAACTTTTGATACATTTAAATTCAGAAAAAAAAGATCCTCTTTTTAGAAAATAAGCCTTACATGGTTTTAAAAAGCGACAATGTGGGGTCCTAATCCATAATTTTTCAGAGAGTTGGATTGATATTTTACTTTCATGGAAAATATCATATTGACACTCGGCCCTCGGTCAATATGATATTTTTCTTGGCCAATATCATATTTTCCCTTGGAATAAAATTCATATTCCATCCCTCCCAGTAGGCATAATATTCCATGTTGCATGCATCTTGGTGAAGAAGGCATCGGGTAAAGTCTATATTTTTAAACCCTTCCAAGGCATTTCGAGTCGAAAATGCAAAAAATGAAATGTTGAAAGTCGTCGGATAGCAAACTGAAATAGCTTTGCCCCCTCCCCCCATTTACATGTAACTAGATTTATTTAGTTTTCTATCAGATATTGATCTTTTGATGCCTCCCCTAAGTCAATATAGGATCAAGTTAGCCTGTCAGGGGAGAGAGCTTTATCCAAGGTGCGTTTTTGTCATACTCTGTGGCAGTGCTAGTCTTCAACATAGATGTACTCTATTCCAAGACACTGCCATAAGATTTTACTACAACTACATTTGTGCTTTTGACTCATTTATCACTCAATAGAGGGCAGAGTAGGTAATTGATCTGACGTCATATGACCATATAAGGTCATGGGCAGCATAATAACAACATTGAAGCAAGGAAAAAGCATCGTGTGTAAATTTTATACCTAATTATTCTAAATTTTAGAGTATACACCGAAATAATAACAACACTTTTAATGTTTTGATGTAGATGAGTACACAAGGTACGCGCTAGGCCATAAGATATTGGCGGAAATATGTAGGAGACCGAGAAATCGACGATGGAAATGATGGTGTTCATAACTTGACCTGAAAATGAGTTGAAAGGTTTGTAGTCGTTTTACTATACTTACGTTTGCGCTACAATCTCAACAAGTATCTGTCATAACGCTATGAATTAACAAGTTCCAGAATCTACGCACATTTTTGCACATATCTGCTGTATTTATATTTCCGATCTGAAGGTGTCAAAAGGCTAAAATTGACGGGGAAAGTTGGTGATATTTGAAGTGGACAAAAATGGACATTCGCCATCTTTCTTTTGATGACCTAAATAACAAGGTCATGAACTCTCTATCCACTGAGCTCTTCCTTTTGTCAACAAATTGATTTCAATTAACAGAAATTGGATTAAGCCAATTTCAATAAAAGTTTTGTGTAGGCAAGATGCCATTTAGTAATTGTATTCAAACTGGTTGGCTATCATTAAGGCGCTAATTATCTGTTATCCCAAGGTCCTGCAATTTGTTTCCTTGCACTAGACTAGTTCTAAAGGTCTCCTTCTTGTATTGTTACTTGTACTATGATGATAAATGATAGCTTTATTATCTTGATTCATGATTATTTGTTTAAAGGCAAAATCTGATCCAGAAAGCAATTTTTCCACAAATTTATTTTAATATAGTCATAAATAACGTATTAAAATTAATTGATCCATCAGATTGGCCCCCACGCGATTAGTTATATCATACATAATATATAGTTTTGTTTTGGTTTATTGTTTCCTTGGTAATCACGACGTCACTGCAACCATATGATTGTTATGTAATCAAATAACAAAACAACTTGGCATTATGTGACGTCATGATTTAATGGACCAACACGGGCCGTATTCGAATATTGCTTATTAAGCAGTTATAACGATTGTTAGAGTGAAATAATTTTCACTATACTGATGAGAAAACATGTCCAAATACATTTATTAAAAAATTATATCGATTCCTTAGGTCAATAATACCATTTCATATCTGCTTTAAATGTACATGTTAAAGCACTTTGGAAGAATTTACACCGAATCTCAAATAATTTCTCCACTTGATAGTGTACCATGGATCTTTAAGAGATAATATATTTGAGATTCTAAATGAGAGATTCTACATGTTGGTTGCAATTTCGTCCTTTCTGATCCTATCTTTTCATGATCCATTATCTTTTTTTAGCATATTAAGGAGTTTACCAAAGGTGCAATCATAGCTTACGATCGCTGACCTTGAATTGTTCTGGATTCATTCAGATCCTCGCCTCAATATTCCCAGAAATTTGTATATCATATATGTTTTTTATTTTCCCGGATTAAAGCTTGACGAAGCTCATTAATGATTTCTACAGAAGGTTGTTTGTCAAACAATTCCCAGAAATAGTAATCCATATTATTTTTTGTTTTGTTTGTTTTGTTAGCTTGTAATCCATATTATTTTTTGTTTTGTTAGCTTTCATCATTGTCAATAATTAATTATTAAACCAATCAAATGTATGATTTTATTTTTATTTTTCCAGAATGGATAAAATCAATATGTAGAAGTGATAGTTCAGGTACAACAAAGAAAAGACTTTACGGGTTTAACACACGATCAGATTCAGCAAGAAAGGATAAAGTATGAGGTTCTGTTCTAAAATAACAAGAAAGATGGGTGCTATATATATTCCTAGTGCTATCACTATATGGGTGATAGTTATTAGTTCATTAGTGCAATTCGTGACAGGTAAGTAAAGATTCAATATTTTATGTTTATGTTATCACAAACTTGAATTTACTGATTGACACAAAAAGTTACAGTGTCAAACTTGTGATGATCTTTTTTAGTATCTCTATAACTTCTCAAAAATGGTGTAACAATTATTAATCAGATAGAAAAATACTGAAATAGGTAAATAAATAAAAATTATATTTCCCTCTACTGTATTATTATATTATCTCAGTTAAAATACTGTGATCTTATTCGCCAAGGAGGAGTCAATAGTTTTTATGGTTGACCATGTGGTGGTTCTGTATCTTGAGTATCATAATTATATAGTTGAAGGTTCCTTGTAGGAATCAAATTACTGTGAAACAAGGTATATTGTTTGTTGGCCTTATTTGCACTTATTTATACTCCAATATTAAGGAAGTATAACAGAGAACTATTATTTAGAGCCACAACTTTGAATAGAGGGTTTGTGTTCAACACTCTCATATGAAGTGAATAGACAACAGGGTTTTTATTATTATTATTTGAATATACCAAGGCTTTTGGTAAAAATAGTAACTTGATCGATGTGAATATATACCACCAAACCTGAGACATTTTGACTGGGAATGGTTTACTAACAAATAAAATGTTTTAATGTTCAGCCTAAAAGGGTTTTATTGCTTTATAAATGATGTATTAATAAAATTTATTTCATAACTATAGTATATTCTCCAAGCATTGTCAAAAAAAATCTTACCTGAATAGTAGAAACGTGTCTATTTCAGCTATATTTTGAGATGGCAACATATGTTTTTATTATATGGCATTTGTTTATTATTTTAAGAAGTGGTTTAAAATTATTTGATTTCATTATAGAGTTTTATTGATTTACATCAGAAAAGTAATGTAAAGGTTAGCCTGCCAAATACATACATCTGTTTAAATTTAGAAATTATTAAAACAAACAGGTTTATATGGTATATATCATAGAAAAACATTTGTGTAAATATTTGCTGAAGTATGACATACGATTCTGTTATAAATTTCAATTAACTAGAGATTTAATATTCTAGTATGTAAAATCACAACAACACATTTTAACTATTGAGTTGTAAAATGAATGAACAAGGATTTAGGAAAAGATAACTATACAATATGCCTTATTACAAATACATGTAGTTATTTTACCCCAAATTATGGGAAAATGTCATTCATTATAAATGGGCTGGTGGCCTTTGGATGTGGAATTTACTTCATTTCACACTTGGAAAATTACCCATGATTCTCTAAATTTGCTGTTTCAGCTATCTTATCCCATATTTTATCATAAACTTACTTAAAAGGGTATCGTCTTGCCACCAGCTTGGCAGCGTGCATGTGGGAGAGTGTCCATTTCTTGTTTGAACATTTCCATACAAATCATGAGATGGATTGACATTGAAATTTTCAGGAATGCATCTTGCAATGAAGATTTAGAACTGGTCATTTTTGGGAATGTTCAGTGAATTATTTTTATTTATTATTTATTTATTTGGATTACGGCAGCCACTTTCCAATTTAAAAATGATATTGTTATGTATCAATAATGTTCTTACATTTATAATCTAAATCATTGTTTTTGACAATGACCACAGATTCTCATGCAAATTGCATGTTCATTCTAATACATGTATTGGGAAAATGATCTATACCCTGATAGGTGCAACACTTCAAACCATAATATGTTAGATAAGTTTCAGTTCAATCAGAGTTCAAGTTTCCATATAATTCTACAAATGTGGTTAATTTTATTTTTGTAACAATTTGCTTTCACTTATCATTCTCAATATTCCATTTCCTGACAGTTACCATCATAACAGCATTTCACCCATTAATCATTTGTCTTTTTTGGTATGACAAACAATATATAAACATATGTACTTGTATATATATATATATAAGGCCATTCAAAATTTGATATATGTGTAACGTCCCTACTCCTAGCTATGATTTTTAAAATCTTACCATAATGATGATATGCAGTCAGAAAATGAGACTCTTATAAAGGTTAACACTAACACTCTTCGTGTAGTGTTATACATTTGAATTGATCATAAACATATATATAAGGAGGATTATGTTGTATGATGTAATATTTTTTGATAACATGAAATGGAATTATGCTATAGAAAATACAAAACCCATTTTTGTATCTAATAAAGACCAGGGTAAGGCAAAAATAGAAACATGATTAATTTTAAAATTTAAACTTGGCCAATATTCACTTATTTATTTATAGAACCTGTTCACTGCACTTTTTGCACTTAGAATGTTGACAAGGACTGATATAGTGATGATCTTTCTGTGTTCACTGCACTATTTGCACTTAAAATATTGACAAGGACTGACATAGTGATGATCTTTCTGTGTTCACTGCACTTTTTGCACTAAGAATATTGACAAGGACTGGCATAGTGATGATATTTCTGAGTTCATTGCACTTTTTGCACTTAGAATATTGACAAGGACTGACATAGTGATGATCTTTCTGTGTTCACTGCACTTTTTGCACTAAGAATATTGACAAAGACTGACATAGTGATAATCTTTCTGTGTTCATTGCACTTTTTGCACTTAGAATATTGACAAAGACTGACATAGTGATAATCTTTCTGTGTTCATTGCACTTTTTGCACTTAGAATATTGACAAGGACTGACATAGTGATGATATTTCTGTGTTCACTGCACTTTTTGCACTAAGAATATTGACAAAGACTGACATAGTGATAATCTTTCTGTGTTCATTGCACTTTTTGCACTTAGAATATTGACAAGGACTGACATAGTGATGATCTTTATGTGTTCACTGCACTTTTTGCACTAAGAATATTGACAAAGACTGACATAGTGATAATCTTTATGTGTTCACTGCACTTTTTGCACTTAGAATATTGACAAGGACTGACATAGTGGTGATATTTCAGTGTTTTCTGCACTTTTTGCACTAAGAATATTGACAAGGACTGACATAGTGATGATCTTTCTGTGTTTATTGCACTTTTTGCACTTAGAATATTGACAAGGACCGACATAGTGATGATCTTTATGTGTTCACTGCACTTTTTGCACTAAGAATATTGACAAAGACTGACATAGTGATAATCTTTCTGTGTTCACTGCACTTTTTGCACTTAGAATATTGACAAGGACTGACATAGTGGTGATATTTCTGTGTTCACTGCACTTTTTGCACTTAGAATTTTGACAAGGACTGACATAGTGATGATATTTCTGTGTTTTCTGCACTTTTTGCACTAAGAATATTGACAAGGACTGACATAGTGATGATCTTTCTGTGTTTACTGCACTTTTTGCACTTAGAATATTGACAAGGACTGGCATAGTGATGATCTTTCTGTGTTCACTGCACTTTTTGCACTAAGAATATTGACAAGAACTGACATAGTGATGATCTTTCTGTGTTCACTGCACTTTTTGCACTAAGAATATTGACAAGGACTGGCATAGTGATGATCTTTCTGTGTAGACCATCATAACCTAATGGGAATTCTTACTTTACTTCTCTGTCAATGCACATCTGCATACAAGTACATTTTCCATTTTTCATTGATTAAAAAGAATAAAGGTGCAGTTGTTTCGTTTCCTGTTTTTTCTTTCTATTGAGGTATGTGGTTGGTATGACTTTTGTTTTGTTCCTTAAATGCTTTCAAAAATAAATTACATATTAGGTATTTTTATGATATGCGACATAAGAATAAGGGAAGATGCTTCTTATACAAGATAAGTAATATCTTCAGAGTTTGACATGCCAAATTAATATCTAACAAATATAATCAAAGACAGATTGTTTTGAAGGGGTTTAAATCGAGAGGGTCTCTAGCCCTCGTCTTAAATAAAAATTTCAGACTGAAAACATTGTTTTAATAGTCATTTATATGACATGATTATTGAGTCAATAAAAGATATATATATATAGGCAAAAATTAGAAAACTTGGTAATATTTTGATTGATTAAGAATCAAATTCTATATATTAAGAAAAGGTGATGACTCGTACTTTTAAACCTTTATCTCAACCCCCTATTGCCACATTTATGTGGTATTTGATACAATGCCATTTTATGACCCACAAATGTACATTTGGTTTTATCAATGGAAATGGTTGGTGTGAACTTAATCACATTTAGACCCTTTATACTACTACACATTGTCACTTCCCGATTCTAAAATCTTTCCACCATTTCTTCTTTTTATTCCAATTTCACCCTAGTTTTGAATGTGGTATCTGATTTTCTTGCATTTCTATATATTTAAGAGTATGTAATTCTTGGTTGTGGATTCTAGCACTTGAAAGTTAAACTTATTTCAACTGTATTTTGCATCTTAAAACATGACTATCATAGTTCGTCATTTATGGGAATATGCTCTCTTTGCCATACTTCACAATGACATGTGTATTTTAAAACTATTTAGTTTTTGATAACATTTATCAAAAGCATACAAGGAGCCAAGGACTTCAGTGTTACAGGAATTGATCATGTGATCGGGAACTATGTTACTACCTGTGAATAAAAGCATGGTGTTAATATATTTAGAATCAAAATTGTGAGATCGCATGTAGGGAAAATATCAAAATACAGGCACGCACATAGAACAAACACATTTTTGAAAAAAATTCAAAATGTATCACTTGTTCTCGAGATTTAGTACAGTACATGTATATGATTTGAGTATATTCTAATTGTCATTTTTGTAGAGGCAGTCAGTTGTATTATTGATTCAGTAGTGTAGATAGGTTCAAAGTAATTCTGTTATTTACATATTTATCAAATATTGGATTGATCCATACTTATATTATTTTATCAGATTGAATTAAATGAGTTGACATTTTTTTACAGCTTACGCTATAACACATTGGCATTTATTGATATTTTTGTAATGTTTTAAATGTAATGTACAATGTTAGCCTTACTCCCTTTGGGACATCCTTGTTTTTGATGTATAGCTCCTTATGAATGTTTCTATTAATTTGT